TAGGCTCCATCCTTAGCTTTTAGGACCCCATTGATTGACAGCTGGGGATGTGATTGACAGATCCAGCGAGGGCCAAGGAGCAGAGCTCACATCCCGCGAGAAGGCAGTTGGTCCCACTGGGGGCGGGGGGAGATGCTTCCTGTCCCCCAGAAGCTGGGGCAGGGGAGATGGACCTCCCTCCGGTTGGTGGGTCAGGGCAGAGTAGGTGGGGCCTGCAGCCTCCTGGCTCCAAGGGGTGGTGCGCCCAGGGGGTGAGGTTGGGGGTGAGGTTGGGGGTCCGGAGAAAGGTCCAGTGACCCTCTGCCCACTTTTGTCTTCCTCCCCTTTCTTCCTGCTTCCCCTCTTGCCTTGTCTTCCCATACGTGTCCCCCGTGTCCCCACCTGTCCTCTTCCCGCCCCTCACTCCTGCCCCTCCCGCCCCCGCCCTCCCCGCAGCGGTGCAGCGCGGCCGCATCCCGCACTCGCTGCCCGGCGCCGTGGCCGCCTCCTCGGGCAGCCCCCCGGGCTCGGCGCTGGCGGCGGCGGGCGGAGACCTGTTCCCGGGCCAGCCCGTGTCGGAGCTGATCGCGCAGCTGCTGCGCGCCGAGCCCTACCCCGCGGCGGCCGGGCGCTTCGGCGCGGGCGGCGGCGCGGCGGGCGCGGTGCTGGGCATCGACAACGTGTGCGAGCTGGCGGCGCGGCTGCTCTTCAGCACCGTGGAGTGGGCGCGCCACGCTCCCTTCTTCCCCGAGCTGCCGGTGGCCGACCAGGTGGCGCTGCTGCGCCTCAGCTGGAGCGAGCTGTTCGTGCTGAACGCGGCGCAGGCGGCGCTGCCCCTGCACACGGCGCCGCTGCTGGCCGCCGCTGGCCTGCACGCCGCCCCCATGGCCGCCGAGCGCGCCGTGGCCTTCATGGACCAGGTGCGGGCCTTCCAGGAGCAGGTGGACAAGCTGGGCCGCCTGCAGGTGGACTCCGCCGAGTACGGCTGCCTCAAGGCCATCGCGCTCTTCACGCCGGGTGAGGGCCGGGGCTGCAGGGAGGGTGCGGGCTGGGTCTCCACCCCCAGGGACACCCCACTCCCCAGACCTGGGGCCCGCGGGGCGGGGCGAGGACGCTGCCGCCAGTGCGACACCCGGACATCCCCTCCCCCCCATCTCAAGACTCCCAAGGGACTCCAAGCTCGGGCCCCAGACCCAGGGGACCAGCGACTCGGCTCCCAAGACCGGCCCCCGGGATTCCCACGCCCCCTCCCCCTCATCAAAGCCAGCTCTCGGGCCCCGGAGCAGGAGGAGAGCGGAGAGGCCCCCCGCCGCCTGGCCTGGGCTCTCTGCCGGCCCTCTCCCAGATCTCTGGGCTGGCCCAGGCCCCCGGGTGGCCGGAGCTGCGCTGGTTGGGAGTGGGGGCGTGGCTTGAAGGCCCCGCCCTCAGGTGCGGCTGGAGGGGACCCTAAGGTCTTTAGGGACCATCCACAGCCAAAGACCTAACGTAGTGGCCGAGCAAATGGCTCTGCAGTTGTTTGTTTGTGTTGCCCTACAGGGGACGGAACCCAGGGCCTCAAGCACCTGGGCCACAGAGCCACACCTGACTCTTGTTAATTTTGAGAGACTTACACCACCACCCCCTCCCCTGCCTCGGGAAAAACCCACAGCTGTGGCCTCTGCCACCCGCTGCACCTCCAGCTGGGATTCTGTACTTTGGAAAAACACTCCCCAGTCTGTCCCCTGGAGGTTCCTAAGCTGGCTGGAAGGATTCGGGCCACCAGATATTTCCTTGGGACACCAGCACTCTGGGTGGCTGCCTGCCTGTATTTGATAAATTTGGATTTGCCATCTCTTCTTTCCCCAGTAGACTCTTGAGTCTCAGTTTCACGGTACCCTTCTAGAGTGCCGCCACTTCCACTGGTCCCCACATTCACTCGCCTGGAACCAGCTGGGCCCTGCCTCTTTCTTCCCCAGCCTGATGCGTGGCCATAACTTGTGTCCCTTCCAAAGGAGGCATCACTGCCTGCTGCACCTCGAGGTCATTGCTGTCAGGTCTACCTCCACCTTGAACATCAACACTGCCTTAGATGCCCCAATTTCGAACCAAGGGGCACCTAACCATCGAGCCACATCCCCAGTTTTTTTTTTTTTTTTCTTTTTGGATCATTGTGTTTGAGACAGGGTCTAAGTTGCTGAGGCTGGCTATCCTCCAGCTTTGGCCTCCTGAATTGCTGAGATTGCTGGCCATTGCCACCCTGCCCAGCTTAGATGTCCCAATTTATGCCCCAGGGCCCATCTCTCACCTCCAGAGTGGCCCCATCCTTGAACACAGCCCTGAGTGATGGCCCCTAATCAGTCACCCCTGTGGGCCCTGTGTGGTCTGCTGCCTGCAGTCTGACCTTGCCCTCATGTCCGACAGATGCCTGTGGCCTCTCAGACCCGGCCCACGTGGAGAGCCTGCAGGAGAAGGCACAAGTGGCTCTCACGGAGTACGTGCGGGCTCAGTACCCGTCCCAGCCCCAGCGCTTTGGCCGCCTGCTGCTGCGGCTCCCTGCCTTGCGAGCGGTGCCCGCGTCCCTCATCTCCCAGCTGTTCTTCATGCGCCTGGTGGGCAAGACGCCCATCGAGACGCTGATCCGGGACATGCTGCTGTCAGGAAGTACCTTCAACTGGCCCTACTCGGGACAGTGACTGTGGGAGGGCTGGGTGCACACTGGCTGATCTGCAGACCTCAAGGGACACGGATGCCGGCCTCGAGGGACCCAGGGTGAGGGCCCTGGCTTCTCTCCCGAGACACCTATTTTTTAAAGACTGTGGAATGTTTGTCTTTCCCGTTTTTTAAATGATCATAAAACCAAAAAGAGACTGATCTTCCAGGCCCAGCTGGCCCCTCCTGGAACCCTGCCCAAGGAGGGCCCAGGGATGGAGGGCCCAGTGCTGGGCCTGCCTTGTCCCTCCGCATCTCGAGCATGAACTTGCGGGAGGGTGGGGTTGGCCTCCCGGTGATGTGGGCGAAGGCCTGGCCTCTGGCCTGGAGGGGCAGCTGCATGTGCAGGCAGCTCCTCCGGACATGGGGTCCACGTTGGACACTAGGTGACACACATGAGGCCAATAATAAAGCCGTTTCCTACCTGTGTAGCCATCTTTGAGGAGAGGGTGAAACGGGCACCACACCCACTGCTCCCGCTACCGTGAACTGGCGATCGGTGTCTTGTTGGGCAGGTGGGAGGGGAGGCTGGCCGGGGAGCCCAGGATCTGCACCCAGGCGCTCAGGTTCATGGTCCTGCTCTGGCTCCTCAGAGGGAGCCTCCTAGATTTGGATTCCTCCACGTTCTGGGCCAAACACATTTTCTTTGGTCAGTACTAATTATGGTGACTGGGCTCTAGTGTCCTTGGGAGAAATACCCGTGGCTAGTCTTGGCACATGATCTCAGCCCAGATAGCATGGGCCCTCCATTTCTCTGGCCACAGTCATTGGTTCATGGTGACATGTGAGTGCAAGCAGGCCAGGGAGAGTCAATGGCACACTTGGAACTGGAAAGAGAATTAAAGCAGTGCAGCTGAGAGATCAGTTTCCCATGATGCCTTTGGAGCCCCTGGATCAAGCCATACCTGAAATTCTTGGTGTTTTAAATTCCATGAGCTCAGATTTTCCCTTTTGTGTTCAAGATCATTTGAGTTCAGTTTCTTCTCTCAAGTGACTAAAAGCCCCAGGTTGTTTCTAATATTAGCACGAGGAGAATGCAGACAGACTTTAAAATGGGGACTTAATTGAGTGGGTCTGATGTGCAGTTCCACAGGACGCCAGGGACCTGTCATCCCAACCTTTGGATTTGTCCCCAGCTCTGGGCTGGGAAGACACCTATAGGATCTAGCAGCCATCTTCTGTGTTTAGCATGCATGAGGCCCTGGACCAATCCCCAGAGCTCCCCAATCCACCCCCAAAAGATGCCACAGCAAAGGAAGCTTCATGAGACGTCTGAGGACTAAGACCTTGAGGTCTGTCCTGTCTGTCCCTGGGCAGGAATCCAGCCAGGCCTCACTGCTCAACTCTCACTTTTCCATGAAACCCTTCCCATATGGCCTCCTGTAGGAGAATATCTTGAGCCTCCCTGGATCTTAAGACTCTGCTGTTCATCTTTCTGTTACTGGGCTTGGCCTTCCTTCCCCAGACTATGGGCTTCTCAAGGACTAGCCTCATGGCCAGTGGCTGGCACTGTCTACCTGGCCTCCAGGTAGCCTCAACTGCCGCTGTCCCCTGTGGCTCCGTGGGAAAGACTCAGAAAGGGCTGTATCTGGTCTGCTACCACCCGCCTGGCCGGATCCTGGCCACCTGTGCCCCACCTGCCCTACCCAGGGCCTGGCATGGGTCTGGCACCGGGGGACCCTCCACCAGGCCAGGTGTCAGCTGTGCCCGTGCCTGCCTGGCGTCCATCCCCATCCAGCCTGCAGGGCCTGGAGAAGTGGACAAGGGGAAACGCAGGGGCAGGGGCAGGGTCACCTCAGGACCTGGGGGCCCCCCAGGTGGCTCCAGTGCTGCACCCCATGAGTCCTCGGGAAGCTGCCTGGTGAGACTCTGGGGTCCTCTGTCCACCTGGCTTCCATTGTTGGACCTGCAGAAAGTGGCTCCCTGGGGCTGCTGGAGTTGGCTCCTCTGCCTTTGACCAGAGGCCGAAGGAGGCTCCTGGAGCCAAGGGAGCTCTGTGCACAGGTGAGGTTCAAGCCCACTCAAGACCCCGGACAAGGGTCCTTCTCAGGAGCTCACTGTTTTCTCCCCTCTGGAAAACACAACTTTTATTTATTTTTTTTTTTTGTACTGGGGATTGAACCCAGGGGCCCCTTACCACTGAACTACATCCCTGGTCCTTCTTTATTTATTTACTTATTTTTGAGACAGGGTCTTGCTAAGTTGCCGAGGATGGCCTCAGTCCTCCCGCCTCAGCCTCCCAAGTCACACAGCAGAACAGAACAGTTTTTTTCCTTTGATTTTCTGGTGACTACTGAGCAAAACCAGGAGTGTCAAGCAGTTGGAGACAGAAGGTCTTTGATCCCCCTTTATTCCCCTGGGAGGATGGTGGGATGAGAGCAGCACTGCTTCCACCGAAGGGCCTGAGGTCTCAGTCCTCATAAGGTCAGGGTTGGCATTCCCAGGGGAGGTCCTGGGAGAGGGGCCATTAAAGCTGACCACAGAGCCTGCAATCAGCCAAGGCTCACCAGGCCAGGGGAGAAAGGCAAGTCCAAAGGCTGGCAGGCGGGCAGAGAACCAAGGGATCCCTACCCTGGTCTTGCTGCCAGTCTCCAGGACACTCAGAAGTACACAGAGCCCTCACTGTCCTCTTGGTCATCGAATTTCTGGATCTGGGTCTTGAGGTGCCTCAGTTTGGCCTTCAGATAGTGACAGCGCAACTGCTTGTCCAGGAAGCTAGGGTCCTGGGAGGGAAAGAGCCAGGGAAGTCCTTGTAGCAGTCTAGCCAATGGTCCTTGTGCTGTTCAGCCCTTTGTCTTTTCCTTTATAAGCCTCCATTTTTTGAGTGTAAAAGAGGATGACTGAGAGGGAGAAGGGGAATAGCATGGATGGTGGAAGGAGACCCTCATCATCATACAAAATACATGTATGAAGATGTGAATTTGGTGTCAACATAGCTTATATACAACCAGAGATATGATAAATTGTGGTATAAAGGTGTATTAAGAATTGTAATGCAAAAATAAATTTAAAAAAAGAGATGCACAAGATTAAAAAAAAAAAAAAAGAGTATGATTTAGAGTGAGAAGAAAAGAGAGCTCCTGCAGGGCGGGAGGGGACCCAGTAGGGTTGCCCAAGCCTCAGCTTTTTTGTTTTTGAACTGGGCACAGGTGTCCCAGCTTCACAACACTCAGGAGTGCAAGGGAGAAGCTATGTAACCCAGGTGTCCTGACTCACCCTCCACTTTTTCTCAAACTCCCTCCGGATGCGAGCTGCAACTTGGGCCTCCTTCTGCAAGGGGAGGAGGAGGAAGTAGCTCAGGAGATTGGAGCCAAGGAAGAATAGGGAGGCTCAGTGACCCACCCAGGTGAGACCTTGAGCGCTGCCCTTGGCCATGTGTTGTGGCACCCACCCAGCCTAGAGGAAGAAGCCACCAAGGATCTGGCCCCAGTGGGTGTCCCAGGGGCTTAGGTCAGGCCACTTGAAGGGTTGTGGGCAGCAGGGGTTTCTGCCCAGTGCTGACCTGGCTTTGGGGTGGGGGCAGCGAGCTCATCAGGGCCTCCAGCTGCTGGAGCTTTGCCTGTGTGGACCCCACCTCTTGCCGGAGCTCCAGGAACTCTCCATACTGGTCCTGGAACACTGCGACATAGCGGCTGCGTTCCCTCTCACTGCTGACCGGTGGGTACTTGCTGCCGGGTTGAAGGGGTCAGGGTGCGTGGAAGGAACTCCCTGGTTCCCTTCATCAGCGGAGTTAGTTTTTTCCAAGCCCTTGTTTGAGTCCCTGCTAGAAATACCCTTTTCCTCTCTAGTAAACTCCTGGGCAAAGCCCCAGCTTCAGCGCTCCTTCCCTGTTCCCAGGCATCAAGAGCCACCACCGGGGGACACTCACAGCTCATAGTCGGGAGAAGGATGGGGCCTAGGCATTTGCTCCGCACGGATGGCTCTAGTAGGCTTCTTGGTGACCAGGAGGGCCTGGGGATTTAGTTCATCCTCAAATACAATCTTCCTGGGCCTGGCCTTGTGGAATGCGGGCTGGGGCTGGTGTCGCGGGCGGGGGGCGCTGGTTTTGTGGTCTGGAGGCACTGTTCCCTGCAGGTTTGGGGTTAAAGGGGAGTGGGGAGCGTGTGTCAGGAAACTGGGGTCTTTTAACCTGGGGGGTCTGGATCTTTGCCGAGGCCCAGCCTGTGGACTCCTCTGGGCCACACTCACCGGGGGCCCAGGGCCAGGCGGGCGGGTCTGCGAGATCCCCCGGGCGCCGCGGGCCCGGGAATGCTCCCGGGCCGGCATCTGCCTCCGGCAGGGGCAGCTCCCAGGTCCCCGAGCTGGGGGGCGGGTCCCGCGGGGGGCGGCGTGGCCCGCGCGTGGCGGGCGCGGTCTGCGGGCGGCCTGCGGACAGGGAGGAGGGCAAGGCTGGGGGCGGCGCCCGGGGGCTGCCCAGCGCGGTCCACAACCACCCGCCGGCGCGGCCCCACCCCGTCTCTATTTGAATAAACGCACATGATTGGTCACCAGCGCGCCTCAGGCTCCTCCCCTATTCGCGAAACCCGGAAACGCGATAAGCAAACGCTCATAACATCACTACGCAGCTGGGCTCGGACTCTAGTTAACCAACACCACGCTGCCAGAGCTTCGCGCTTTCCAGGAGGAGCCCACCGATCACAGCCCCCGAGATCCCCCCGGGACCTCCACCCCGCCTGCAGGATCGTTCCCGCCCGGCGTCACCTGTCCCAGCGTCCGAAATCTGAGCCTCTGTCCCCTGCCGGAAAGGCACTTGCATCGGGGATGTGCGTTTAACTGCGGGCTGGACCCAACTGGTAGGGTCTATTGGGCAGGGCGTGGGCGGGGCCTGGAGACGCAGGGGCGGGTCTGGCGTGGCGGGGCTTGGCTACAAACCGTGAAACGCAGGTTCGAGTCCCATCTCGACCCAGACCCGCTGTGTATCTGGGTTGAAGTTCAACTTCTCTTCGTTTGTCTGAAAAATGTGGAGGTTTTCGCGAGCTGTATTCATTTTTTTCAGCAGCTATATTTTTATTTTTTAAATATATATAATTTTGAATACTGGAGATTGAACCCAGAGGCGCTCTAACACTGAGCTACACCCCCCAGACCTTTTTATTTTTTGAGACAGGGTCTCTCTAAGTTGTTGAGGGTCTCACAAAGTTATTGAGGCTGGCCTGGAACTTGTGGTCTTCCTGCCTCAGCCTCGCAGGGATGATAGGCATGCGCCACCGTCCCCCGTCAGTAATTATTATTTTTGTACCAGGGATTGAACCCATGGGTGCTTAACCACTGAACCATATCCCCAGCCTTTTTTTCTTTTTCTATTTTATTTAGAGACAGGGTCTTGCCAAGTTGCTTAGAGCGTCACTAATTTGCTGACGCTGGCTTTGATCCTCCCGCCTTGGCCTCCTGAGCAGCTGGGATTATAGAAATGCGCCACAGCGCCCAGGAAGCCAGACATTATATTTTAAGAGAATCTCTTTAAATAACTCGTAGGGCTTTTAGAAAAATCAAGTAGAAAAGGCAAGAAAGGTAGGCACAGTGGCACCCTTCTGTTATTCCAATGACTTGGGAGGCCGAAGCAGGAGGATTTCAAGTTCAAGACCAGCCTCAGCACCTCAGGAGATCCTGTCTCAATAAAAAAAGGGCTTGGGGTGTAGCACCATGGCACAGGCTTGCCTACCATATGTGAAGCACTGGGTCCTCCCATCTTCATAGAGTAAAACAAAAGCAAAAAATCCCAACCTTGTCCCCAGAGACAGCAGTTAATTATGTCTCCTGGAGAGATCCTTATTCAAAGAAATAAGTTTTCCTCATTGCAAATAATACTGCAAAACGTATCCATGCCAACAGTTCTTGGCTACCTATGGGTTATCTGTTGGATAAATTCCTAGAAATGGAATCACTAGGGCAAAGCAATCTGTGTGTTTTAAACTTGGAGATCCTGCCAAGCTCTTCTTTGGAGTTTGTATCATTTACACAGAGAAAGAGGGATTGTTCACAACCTTGTCAGCAGCACCTGTAGTATCCATTGCCAAGTGTATTTTTAGAGGTTTAAATTTCACCTAATTTGCTGAGTGAAAAACTTCAGAAGTCATTTGTATTTCTTTTCCTGTTCACATCCTGAAGATTTTTTTCCTTGATGAGCTTTAGTTCTTCATACTTGAAGGAAACTAGTTTAATCAGATAATGTATCTTTTATGCTACTACTACAAATGGGATCCTCCAATGTATTTTGCAGCTATATATGTGTAATATGTAGGAAATGAATTTTTGAATTTTTATTTTTTTTGACGGGTCTTGCCTGGCACTCCTGGGTTTGAGTGATCCTCCCACCCCAGCCTCCTGAGTAGCGGGTCTGCAGGGTGCCACCACATCCCTCTCCTCCTGGGGCCTGGCCTTGTCTAGAGTGGGACACATACCAGGATGGAATGCGGTGTGTTTGCTGTCAACCTCCTCCAGGTCCCTGAAGCCGAAGCGTCTTCCTCCCTGCTCATCCACTCTCTGTGGCTCCTGGAGACTTCCCACGACCCTCCCATCTTGTCTCCATCCCCCTTCAACGGGACCTCCTAGATGGGTCGAGGGCAGACAGGACACATAGGGTGGAGCCGGTCTTTATTTGAGCTTGGGCATGATGCGGATGAAGAGGATCATGCTGATGAAGATGAAGCAGACGATAATGAGCATGGCCCAGAGCAGCCAGTTGACCGACTTCTGTGCGTGCTGCTCCAGCCGCTCCGACTCTGTCTTCAGCTTCTCCAGGTTCTGGTCAGCCATCTTGAGTGAGTGTGACAGCGTCTGTGGACGAGGTGGACAGGATGTCAACAGGGCTGGGGCCACCCCAGGGCAGGCTGCACCTCTCCATCTGTGCCGATGCTCTGCCCTTTGCTGGGACTGCCACTACTTTGGCTTCCTACCAAACTCCTATTGGTCCAGCAGAACCCAGCCACAGCGCCCCCCTCCTGAGAAGCCACCTCTGATGCCCCAAGGCAGAGGCTGGAGAGTTCCCACCCCCACACCTGGTTGTCCTTCTTGATGACGCTCTGGGCAGCCAGCGTGTTGGTCTTGAGGCTCCGGGCCAGGTCTAGCATCTCCTCTGACAGCTTCTCCTGGAGGTTCTGGTGTCGTTGCAGGACGAGGTCCAGCTCAGCTGCTGACTGCTTCTCGTCCATAGGCCTGGGCCCCGCCACCCCACTGATCCACACATGGGGGATGTGCGGGTAGGAGAGGTGGAGCAGGGAGGGAAAGACACCGCCATGTTCCCAAGGAGCCTGGAGGTTGTGGCTCCAGCCGATGCCCTGCTGGGGACTGTTTCCCCTTCTTTGTGTGGCTTCTGGGAAGAGCGTTCTCAGAAGTGGCTTCTACTGGGTGACTTGCAGTGGCACCTCAGTGGCCCAAGGTTTCTGCAGCTCCCTCCCCACCCGTTCCAGAAGGCTGGAGACACTCACCTTCGCTTCCTCACGTCCTGCTCGGGCTCTGGAAGCAAAAGAGGCCAAGCAGCAAGAAGGAGAGATTGGTTTCTGCTTCAAGCCTCCTGATCTTTGCCTGGGCCCTGTCTGCTACCTGGCATGCCATTTCCTCACCTGGGCTGCTGCCCAGTGGGCTCCTAATCATACTCCAAAGCTTTAGCTAAAATGTCCCTTCTTGTAGAAAGTCTTTCCCACCACTGACTGGGCTCCTCAAGACCCCAGGTCTCTCCATCTAGGCCAGCCTTGGTCCTGTGGCCTGGCAGTGCTCAGCTCTCTCTTCCAGGGGCCACTTCCTCTGTCCTAACTTGCCCTCCAGACATTACTGGGTGACATTCTCCCTGGACCAGGGAAGACCTGTGGGAGCCAGGTTGGGAGCAGCAGGGACATGTGTTTTGTTCCAGGTACCTGGGCTTGAGTCCTATTTCATTTCAGTCACTCACCTCCAGCAGAGTCCTATTGGAAGAATGGAGAGAGATGAAGTCACCACCCTATCCTATCCCAAATCTGTCCTTTCTGCTCTCCAGACTTGGGCTGGGGATGTGGCTCAGGGATAGAGCACTTGCCTAGCATGTGTGAGGCACTGGGTTCTATTATTAGCACCACATAAAAAATAATTAAAACAAAGATATTGTATCCATCTACAGCTAAAAAATATTAAAAAACAAAAAACTAATAACGAACCCCCCCAAAAAAAACTTCCATATCCTTATTCAGAGGCCTGGGCAAATCCTGTGACCTGCAAGCCTTGGTTTCCTCATCTATAAACTGGTCATGACAACAGTTCACATTTGGAAGGGCTGAGCTGATGCATGTGAAGTACTCAGAAAAGCAACTCTCATCGTATTTTATGGATGAAGAAACCTGCCTGTCTCTTGAAAATGGCAAGCCAGGAGCCAAATCCTGCTGGGGGTGGGGGTTAACTCTGGGGCTTCAACACATTTCTCATTTGTGTACTGAATCATCGAACAAATGCCTGGCCACAATGGCCCTTTCTTGGGAAGGCTTGTCTGCTGGCCCACGGATGAGCTGTTGGGCTCTGCTTTATTATCCTGGCAGGCATTGTACTCGGGGATTATCTGAGGGGTTCCCAGGGAGGGAGCCTACCATGCCTAGCAGCTCGCTCCGCATCTCGCTGGTGTACCGTGCCCGGGACTGCAGATGTACCGTCTTGGTGGCAGGCACACGCTCCCTGGCGGTGGTCGGCACGCGACCAGGGGTCAGGAACTGGTTGGCTAGTGCCTTCTCTGAGGAGGAAGTCTGTAGAAATGTGGGAAGATAGGTAACTGAAGGCACTGGGGCTCTGGTGCACTTGATGGGGGCTGAGGAGGCAGAACCAGCCCTGCTCACCAACTTTTCTGCCTGCAGCATCCCCTTCAGAAAATCCACCTTGCGGGAATATTCATTGATCACCTCGGAGGCTGGTCTGCTGGAAGACGGAGGAGAGGAAAAAGAAACCTGCCCACTCTCTCTAGTTCAGGAAGGGGTCCAGGGCAGGCACCGGAGCCCTGGGGTGCCCTGAGCGAACTCCTACATCCGAATTTGAAGCCCACTCACCTGGCTTGGGCTTTCAGGGCCTGAAGCATGTCCTCCAGGGCCCCCACATACTGGGGAGGAAGAACAGGGTGTTACCTAGCTTCATGGGTGGGAGCCACGAGAGGGGCGGCGCCAGGCCGGAGGGTGGGAAGGGAGGGATCAAACGCCGGGGAGGGGCCGCGGGGGGGCGGGGCACTTGGTACTATGGACGGTTGCAGCAGGTGGACGTGGCGGAACTGACCGGAAGGGGCGTGGCAGTGAGGTGGCGGGGGCCGGGGAATGAGGCCCGGGGCTTGCCAACCCAAGGAGCCGCCCTCCAGGAGTTAGGCTGTACGCGGCAGCGTGGGATTCCCCTCACCTTCTCCAGGCGCCACTCATCTGGGTCCCGCTTCTCCGCTGCCATTGCCTCGCAGCGGCTCAGCAGCCTCACCAGGTTAAGCTCCAGCCTCGACGCTGCCATCGCTACCGGGCTGTATCCTGCCCCTTCCGCCGGCGCCATCTTTAGGGATGGCGGAAGTGGCTGCTTCCGGCCTCCTTCCGGGCGGACCTTCGCGCTCATTAGCCTACAGTTACTTAAGGTGGAAGTAAAGCTTGTTGCTAGGAGAGGCGCTGTCGCGTCCATATTTATTCAGGGCAAAATCGCTTGCTCTTCCTGGTGAGCATCTCGATTCTCCGAAAGGGTTGGAAGGACCGGGTCTTCTGGTGTCAGGCCCACGTGCTACTTGCCCTTTGGGTGTTCGGTTCCGACTGTTCAGAATCCTGCCTGGATTATTCTGACACCGAGCTCTTCGGCATCCAGGCAGTCTTCCCTGATTTCTAAAGGGGCGGACCCCTGACCTGGGACTAAGGAATCCTGGGCCCTTCCTTGCTTCATTATATGACTCCAGACTCTGATTTTTCTGGCCGGAGGGGCTCATCCATTTTTATCCCAGCTCTGATTTTTGCTTTGTTTTGTCTTTTTTTTTTTTTTTTTTTTTTTTAAAGAGACAGGGTTTCATTAAATTGCTTAGCGCCTCGCTGTTGCTGAAGCTGGCTTTTAACTCGTGATCCTCCTGCCTCAGCCTCCACAGCTGCTGGAATTACAGGCGTTCGCCGCGCACCGGACTCTTGACTCTGCATGACCTTGAAGGGATTTCTTTTCTGCGCTTTTTTTCTGGGAAGTGGACAACACGTCTCATTATTGCCTCCAGGAGGACTTGAGTAGCCTTGGAGCTAGACGTAGGGCTAGGCCACGCCTAACTGGGAGAGCCTATCCAGATCCCTAGGAAGACAGAGTTCTCGCAGATTTTCAGGAGTGTAGTGAGGGTGGGGGCATGAGCTCTCATCAGTCTCCCCACTTCTCCTATCCGCCATGTTCTGGTCGCATAGATGGGCCTGAAAAGACCAGAGAGGAGACCAAACCTAGGGCCCATAGAGTGACCTCTAGAGGCTGACATGTGAATCCTACCCCCAGCCCTTCCCAGCCACGTGGCCATGGACCAACCTCCGCGCTTCTCCAAGCACCTGCTGGACTTCTTCAGGGTCCCCTGGGGCCCATGCCAATCAGTTCTCACAGCAGCTCATGGGATTGGCCCACCTGTGCAGTGGTTGCTCCTGGCTCTACCCCACCCATAAGGAACTGCCCCTCCACGGGGTGCGTGGCCCCTGCACTGATACAGGTTAGGTATCTCCTATGGGAACTGCTTGTGTTCAGCTGTTTTTGGATTTCTGAGCTTTGAGGAATTTGGAGTATTTATACATAACTGAGATATGCTGGAGATGGGACCCAAGTGCAAACACAAACTTGATTTGTCTCATATGCCTTATACAGAGAGTCTGACGTAATTCATTTTGGTGCTGGGATTGAACCCAGGGCTCTGGTGTGATGAGCATGTGCTCTACTGCCCAGTTACACCTCTAGACCCAGAGGGCATTTTTGTGCTACGTTATAGTGTTTTGACAGAGACCCCTTGTGGGAGTCTGGGTATGGAATTTCCCATCTGTGATGTGTGTCAGTGCTCAAGAGTTTTGGATCTTGGAGCGTTTGGATTAGAGATGCTCAGCCATTATGTCTCAGCTGGGCGCAGGCTGCTGCTGAAGCAGGAGATGAGGCAGCGCTATTGGGAGCTCCCTACTCCTTCAGCTTTCCCAGTCAATAAAGAAGCCCATCTCAGGTGGGCACACCTGCAATCCCTGCAACTCGGTAGGCTAAGGCAATTTCAAGGTCAGCCTGGACAGCCTAAGTGAGCTCCTATTTCAGAATAAACAGAAAGGGCTGGTTGTGCAGCTCAGGAGGCAGAGCGCGCCTGCCTAGCATGTGGGAGGCCCTGGGACCCAGCACTTCAAACCAAGCCCCCGGCCCCCTCCCCAAACCTCAGAAACGAGCCAAGCTTATCTTCCTTAGGCGAAGAGTTCATGAAAGTCCCACAGCACCTTTGGTGGAGTGTCAAACTGGTCCCCACAACCCTCCGGCTGAGGCTGCAGGGCTGACCCCACTCCCACCCCAAAGCCAGACTGAGCAAGAATCCCACCAAAACAGTCACAGGCACTTTTTCTTTATTTCACACCTTGTGCAGAGTGCCCTTTGTCCCAGGCCTGTGGCCAAGTGTCCAAGTGCCCGGGGGAGTGGGTGGAGCTTGAGAGGGGAGGCTCCACTCCCCGCACCCCCAGGCTGCTGCTGCTGCAGGGATGTGCACTGCAGGCTTTGCCCTCCCTGCCCTACCCAACCCACCCCTAATGGTCCTGAGTCACTGGCTCATGTCACACAGGGCAGGCAGTGTCCAGGGCAGCCTCCTAGAGCCTCCGGCATCCAGGCACGGTAGAGAGCTGAGACAGCACATTCAGGTCTCCCTGGGATTCGAGGTTGGTGCTGCCTGGGTTGAGGGCCATTCCTGATTCATATCCTGGCTCTAGCCGACAGCCTGACCCTGTGGAAGGCTCCAGTGTTCCCTGGAATGTACGTGGCCAGGTGGCCAAGCGGCCGCTGCTGCCGGAGATGAGCATTGGAAACAGACTGGGGAGGTCAGGTGCCCCGAGGGGCTAACCCCTCCTTGCAGGGTCCCAGATCGATGACTGCCCACTGACTGGATGCAGCATGTAGCTGAGCGAGTGGCCCCGCACTGAGGACCAGTCCAGGTCACCAGGGAGACGCACAGCGTTAATATAAAAGTTTGAACATACACATATAAAAAACGATTTGGTCTTCCGTTAAGGCTGTTTCAGTTTAAAGTTATGTAAACCACAAAAAAACAGTTACTGTAAAAACACACAAGGGGGAGACACGGGCTGCCATAGACCTGGTGCTGCAGGCGCCGCGGTGCATGGGGCGCCGCGTGGACCCCGGGGTCCTGCCACGCCTGCACCTGGAGCCTAGGCTACCTCGATCTGCTCTTAGAGCTGTTTGTTCTGGGTCTTTCTGCTAGAGGCTGGCTCCACAGCTCAGGTGCCCGGCTCCAGCACAGGGCTGTCCTCAGACACGCAGACTGTCGCTGGCACCTTCAGCCGTTGGCTTGACCCGAGGCGGGGGGCAGGCGGTACATTGGGGGGTCTGAGTACCTCCGCTTGAACCCAGGAGGCCGGTCGTCCTCTTCCAGGGGTTCCAGGGCACCCTGCGCAGGCAGGCTCACCCCGGGCGTGATGTACACTGAGTGAACCTGGTCCGGGCGGCGGGCAGGGGGCTCTCGGCGCCTCACTGGGACAGCAGCCTCCTGGGCCCTGGGCGCCCATCCGTGAAGGTGGATGGGCAGGCCAGGCGGGAGCTTGATGTTGGCCATGGGCATGACGGGGTTCCGCCGGGGGGTCTTCACTCTGACCGTGACGAAGGAGGATGGCCTTCGTCGTGGAGGGGCGGCTGCCGTGGGGAGGGGGCTCGGGGTGGGCGCACTGGGGCAGGGGAGAGCAGGCGTGGGGGGCCCTTTTGAGAGACAGATGGCAGGGTTACTGTGGCTTTGGGGTGGGCAGATGAACCCATGCCCCGGGGGCTGCTGGGATGGACGGGAAGGAGCGAGGTGGCCGTGACCTTAATACTGACCTTCCGAGGCCCCCCGCCCGGCCCGTTCCTCCAGCAGGCTCTCGGTGCTGGCTGACGTCTCCGAGTCTAGGTTTTCCTCGTCAGAGCCCCTTGGGTCCAGCTCTGGTAGCCGGTAGGTGATGTCCTCCCTGAGGGTGAGGGGTCACTGTGTCCAAGGCTGCTCCCACCATGAGGAGCCCCCCCCCCCCCCAGGGAAAGTGCTGACAGGGACAGGGCAGTCTGTCCACACTTGGCCTAAATGCTGTGGGCCCTCCGAGGCTGCTTACAGCCCGGGGTTCAGGTGCTGAGGGGAGCCAGGCATCTGCCCAGCACTGAGCTAGTGATGTGCTCCCACCATGGGGCTGCGGCTCGTGCTGTCCTCTGCCTGGAGCAATGTCCCCTGTTCCTAAGAGTAAGGTGGCCAAATAACCTGGTCACATCTGTTTTCCTGGTTAACCATTTTTTTTTGAAATGGGGTTCCTGTGTCGCCCGGGCTGGCCTTGAAGGCCCAGACCTAACAGTTCTCCTGGGTGTACCATGACATCTGCCTCAAAAAGATGACTTTCTTTTTTTTTTTTTGGTGGTGCTGGGGATGGAACCCAGGGCCCCCACACTGTGAAAGCACCCCACCGCTAAGCTACACCTCAGCCCAAATCTGGGTTTAAAGAGAGCTACTGCAAGGGTTCATGGTCAAGTTTGGGGACAGCAGTGTCCCACAAGGTGAATATTTTCTGCTCTGTGCTAGGTACAATAGAACTGAGCCTGGCAAGGTCAGGCAGACCACCTGGCATAGACCCTGCCCAGCAGTGTCCAAGATCACACCCTCTGTTGCTTGTGGGGCCAGTGGACGGGTACTGAGTAGCCAGGGTTCAGGGAGAAGGGGGGAAAGGACACTTGCTTCTCCTCCTTGATGGACTGGATCCGTTCCATGAGGATCTCCTTCTCTCGGTCCTCGTCACCAGCCCCTGCCTCCTCCTCAGGCAGCACTTCTAGCTCCTCCAGGCTGCTGTCCCTGCTCACCTGGGCCTTGGGGCTCTTGTTCTGAAAATAGGGAAGGAACAAGTCTGACCAGCACCCTCAAGGGGCGGAGCTTAGTGCTCTCAGGCGGTGGGGGCGGAGCTTAGTGCTCTCAGGCGGTGGGGGTGGAGCTTAGTGCTCTCAGGCGGTGGGGGCGGAGCTTAGTGCTCTCAGGCGGACCAAGGGGCTCCAAGGGAGGTTAGTTCTGCAGAGGTCCCACTGGGCTCTTGGTGAGACTTCAGGAATCCTGCAGGGACAGAGTGGCTGGCACTTGGCTGATTAGTGGTCCTCAGCACGGAGGGTCAGCAGGCAAAGGGCCACCCCCAGCATGCACGTGGAAGGCTAGGACATGCTCGGTCTATGCTACGAGAACCCGGGGCCAAGGGGACCCCAGCGTGCACCGACGCACTGGGAGACATGCACCGAGGACCCACAGAGCGCGTACATACCAGGACCCCCTCATAGGGAGACGAAAACCCCAGTTTGAGAGGCCAGGGCTGGGGGAGAGATGAAGACAGGGTGAACAAAAGCACCAAGACTGCGACGCAGGCACGAGCAGGGGGCTGTGCAGCAGCTGGCACAGGGAAGCGTTCCGGGCTCTCTTGGGAGCCCAGGACCCGCTCCCCCCTGGACCCCTGCCCCACCACGTGAGGACTCTCTTCCTGCTCTGGGAACATCTTTCTGTGGGTGGGACCCAGGGCAGCAAGAGACAAGGCCAGACAGATGACCCAAAGTACCACCAAGCGGGTACCAGGTCCCTCCACCCCGTCCACTGAAAGGGACAGTTGGTTGGTGTGAGGCTGGGCGTGGACTGTAACCGTCTGGTCAAGCCAGGAACTCTGCCCCTACCCGTGCCGTCATGAGGCCCCAGCAGCCTGTGTCCAACTTGGAGCTGGGAGTCGGCGGGAGAACCTGGGCAGCGAGACCACGCCCACTGCCCACAAGCACGCCCCACGGCCCCACCCAGGATCAGGTCTCCTGTTGAGGCCCCGCCCATGCACCCCCTCCTCGCTGTCCTGGGTGCTCACAGCATTTTGTTGCAGGAGCGAGAGCCTTCGGAAGGCGATGCTCTCCGCAGCCTCCAGCTGGTTGATCTCCTCCATCTTTATTTTGTACTTCCTCATCTGCTCTTTGATCAACATTTCCACGCACCTACAGGGAAGCAGCAAAGCAGGCAGGGATTCAGTTCCTGTCCTGGGGGTGCCCTGAGCTCAGGTAGGTGCTAGTCGAGAACTGTGGCACAGTGACTGAAGGAAGAGAGGCTCAGAGAGCTGGCGGAGTCAGGGACACAGCTGGGGTCCCTGGCTCCCATGCGGTGTGACCTCAGGCAGTTCAGTCCCCCTCTCTGGGCCATGAGCTCCCTGTATCTATAAGCCTCCCTGTTGGAAGAGGAAGAACAACAGGGAGGGTTAGAGGGAGCAGAAGGGTGGGGACTATCCTACCTTGCAGAGGTGTAAGGGGTGCAGGCAGGTTGGCATTTTGTCACAGGGCCAGTGAGCAGCCAGCCCCGGGGCTTCAGAACATGAGCTCTGACCTCAGCCGGGGGCGGTCAGTAATGGAGGGAAGGAGAAGTGGGAACTCAGGCTGGGTGGACAGATGGTCTCTGCCCCTGGCCCCCTTATCATGACCCCATAAGAAGAGAAGGATCACAGGCTCTGCCAGGAGAGGCTGGAGGCAAATCTGCTGATGCTGTGCCCCCGGGCAGTGCCAGAACCTCGTGTCCCTTGTTGCCTGCCTGCTTTTTGCTGGGGTCTGTGAACACGCCTGGGGCCCACGAGATGGTGTTCCTCTCAGGCCACCTTCGTGTGTGCTTGCCACACAAAGCCACCTGTGTGATGGGCTCTGATTTGCACAACTACTAACCTAAAAATCCTGCTATCATGGATGACTGACCACCTCCTGAGTTCTTTAAGACAGGGTTTTGCTAAGTTGCCCAAGCCGGCCTGGAACCCCAGCCCTCAGCTTCTTGAGTTGCTGGGATTATAGCCTCTGTCACCACCCCCAGCCCCAGAGTTCTGAAGAATCGTCAGATGGGAAGAAAATGGTCCGGTGGGGAAGAAAATTCTGGAAAAATCCAGCAGTTTGTCACTCCCCCTGCCACAGGGTCGGAGGGATTTCTCTCTCTCTCTCTTTTTTTTTTTTTTGTTCTTTTGGTCTCAGAAGAACTCAGAGGACCCACGCTGCTTGAGAAATGACGAGAGGTGGCATCTGCACCAGCCTGGGTGAGTCCCACCTTGGTGCTGTCTGCAGGGCTGGACTCTGGGCAGTGACAGGAACCCCAGTCCCCTCACCTCATGGCTTTTGCTAAAAGTTGGTCTTAGTCCAGAGTGGCGTGCTCCCAAGCACGTCTGGAACGAGGGGTGGGTGGTGGGGCCACTCGGAGCTGGCTGCTGGCCTCAGGTGTGCGAGGCTGGACTTCCACCCGCGCCACAGAAAAAACTGCAGGGCAGAGCAGCCACGTGAAGCTGATCTATGGCTCCACAGCTCAGGAGGACTCCAGGGCCACTGTCACCTCCAGACTATTCTCTATACACAGCGGCACACGGCCATGGGGAGATGTCGCAGGGGTTTTTGGTCAGGCTCCTTGGTTTCATCACAGGCTGGGCTACGCCAGGTGGGGTGTGTCTGGGAGGCCGGCCCCTCCTGGTACTCACGTGGTGATCTTCAGGACGTCCTTCATGCTGGTCAGCGGGTCCGAGTTGTCGGGGCAGCGCAGGAGGCAGGGTGCGAAGATGATGGCCAGAGCCCCGGGAGACATGCGGTTCACATCCTCCAGCAGGGCCACCCTGCAAGGCCACTGACAGTCAGGGAGCAGCCGCGGCCCAGAGAGGGAGCTCCCGGGGGCCTGGGCAGCTTCCAGGAAAGAAGCTTTGCATCCCAGGGGTGGGAGGCATGGAGGGGTGCCACAAAGGACCCCAGGTGCCCTGAAGTCTGGTGGGCTTGGTCCCCTCCCAGACCCCAAGGCTGGCAGGTGTCTCAGTGTGGAGCCATCAGGCCAGCTGCACTGGAATGGACGCCTTACAGGTCGGCGGGTGGGGCGGGGTGGGGGTGGGGGCGGTACTTGCTTGACGAGGTGGAAGACAAGCCTCTCCAGGGAGTTGTGGTTGGCCTCTGGCAGGTGCTCCAGCACCGCGTAGATGGCGGCCAGCTGCTCCTGTTTCCCTGGGAGCTCTAGGGAGGTGGAGGGCATCAGCCACCCTGGGCCTCCCAGCTTCCCCCGCGTGCCTCGGTGCAGGGGGCTGCCCTGCGTGGTCCTCGGGATGGTGTGTGGCAGGAATGGTAGGCCTCGGGGACCCAACCCTAACTAGGACCTGAGGCGGGCGGACTCCTCCCTGGCTGGCCAGAGCGCATGCTCTGTCTCTCTCCTGACGGGGCCACCAAGGCTCGCCCCCCATGTCCACGTGCTGCGGGGCTCACCGACGGCCCGGAGGAAGTCGCCGTAGTGGGCAAAGGTCATGAGGGGCTCAGGCAGCTCCCGCAGCCACTGCTTCAGCACGCCCGTGATGGCGTGGATGGGGAAGTCCTCCAGCCGCACTGCCGCGGGGTCTGCCGGGTAGAGGCTGGTGAGTGGCGCAGGCAGACCCGGGAGGGGCCTGGCGCAGGTCCACCCGCCTGGTCTCCACCTGCCCGCAAGGCCTACCTGCCTGCAGCGCTTGCCGGAGCTCCCGAGTCCGGTTGGCAGCACCTGACTTGCGGTAGAGGCCCTCAGTGTACAGGCCGTGCATCTCTACGTGTTCCAGAAGCTTCTCCAGCACGATGGGCACTGAGGCCTTGTCACTGGTCAGGCTGTCCATGCACACGCCAAAATGGCCTGGCTCAGCGCCTGGCTCGCTCTGCAGAACATGGAGGGGGTCAGGCTCCAGCTACCCGTCCTGGGTCCTCCCTCCCTATCCTGCAGAGCCCATGGCCCCCCTCTGTAGGTGCCATCCCTCCCTGCTTCTTTGTCCCCTCTTGCACAGCTGCTGGGGGCACCAGGTTGCAGATGTCAGCTTGATGGCCACCAGGCAGGGGGTCCCTCCATGCAGCACCCACAGAGTAGGATCTTCTGGGGGAGAGGCTCCTCCCTGGCCCTTGGGGCCCCCTCAAATGAGTGGATGCTGACTTTTGCTCACGCCCAACACTCAGGACTCCACTTCTCTGTGTCACAGTGGACAGGTGTCCCCCTGCTAGGCCTGGACTCTCCCAGGGGCCGAGGGTCTGAGATGTCCAGCCCCTGCCTTGGGGGCCTCACAACTGGAGACAAGTGTGTTGTGCTGCACAATCAGAGGCTGCAGCCCCTCCTGCCACCTCCCTGTGCCTGCCCAATGCCTCACGTGGCCCTCACAAGTACTGCTTCCCCCGCTGCCCTGGGCAGTGTTCTAGAAAGTTCTGGACCTGAGCACACTCCTCACCTTCCTCCCACACGTGTAGGAGCAGTAGCTCTGGATCTTGTGCACACACTTCTTGTGGCAGGTCATCTTGCACACTGTAGGGGGTACAGGGCAGAGGTTCCTGGACTGCCCACCTCACTGGCCGGGCCTGACTGCCTTCTCAACTGCATTGCTCTCGTCTCTGCCTTGATTCCCATAAGGGATGCAGGGCAGGTTTTCAGAGCTGGTGACCATTAGTCACTTCAGACTGGACCCAGATGGCCACTCGGACAAAGAACAGGCTTTTAGGGGGACCCAGGCCCTAGTCCTGCCAGGAGGTGGCCCTGGGGACATGATGCAGTATGTGGCATGAGTGATGCTGCTCTGAATGATCACGAGCGAGCCCCAGGGTATGTGACATGGAAGTCAGCTGTGCTGAGAGGAGGGAGCCAGCTTTTGGGGGTAAGCCAGCGGGTGGCTCAAGTTCCGAGTCCTCATCTCAGGACACTGACAGCTGGGGTGGCGGGAATGCTTCACACACGGGGGCAAGGGGACAGGAGGAAGGTTTCAGAATCTGAAAAGACCCAGGCCTGCTGGTTCTGGCAGAAAACAGCAGGGTGTGCAGAGCCTGGTAGCCCCGGGGCAACTGTGCTCAGTCCTGCCTGGCTGCCTGGCAGTGGCGTGACCAGGGCCTGCACCTATCTCAGGCTCCCGAGTCTGAGAAGGAGGTGACAGTTCAGGCAACAGGATGCAGGGTGACGCGCCCACGTGTGTGAGGAGGTGGTGAGACTGGCCCGTGGGCCTCAGGACCACCTGAGGACTGAGCCCTGTCTTGGGAGTGACCGAGCGAGACACTGGGTGACATGTGTTGGAGTGATGTTCCAGAAAGACTGGCGGCTGGGCGAAGGTCATGGGGTACAGTGCGGGCAGGGCTGCCTGGGGCACTCACCACTGCAGAGCAGGGCCTTGTCCATGAGCCAGATGTAGGAGAGGCACTGCTCGCAGGACTGCGGGATGCTCACCTGGTAGCTGGCAAACACGTGCCCGTTGTGCTCCTGGACCTGCGGGGGGCAGAGCGGCTGAGCCTCCCCAGTACCGTGGGGCGCCCTGCTCCTCAGGGGGCCCGCCCAGCTAGAGGGCTCCTTAGGAGCTGGGAGACAGCGCACACGTGCATGTCTGTAGGGACACGTGTCCACCGCAGGCAGAATACGCCTGTGCGCAAAACTGCAGTCGCACACGCACACGCACACGCACACTCCTACTCACGGCACGCTCCTGCTTCCGCTTCTTCTTCTGAGCTTTGCTCTGCTGAGAAGGACACAAAAGTGAGGTCCTCATAGGGACACTTGGCCTGCCTGGTTGTAGGGATAGAGGGTGGCGCGTGTCCCTAGGGACATTCTGGCCCCTCACAGAGGAGGCTGGAAGCCTCTGCGCACCACGACCCCTCCCTCCTCTGGAGCTGGCGCCTCCCACCCTAACCCTACCACCAGCTCCCCGAGAGGAAGGGAGACCCTGCAAACAGGTGGGGCGGGGCGGGGTGGGGGATGGGCCCCAGGCTGCAGTGGGCACGGCAGAGGTGGGCGCGGCAGGTGGAGGCAGGTACAGGGCAGAGAGGGTGCGAACACGGCTGGGTGTGGGGACACGTACCTTTGCAGGCTCAAAGTCATTCTTGGTGTAGCCACGTGTGAATTCGTCCAGCAGTGACTGGAAGAGGTTGAGGACCAGGTTGGTGTCCTTCTCGCCGCGCTCTGTGGCCAGGTTGTTGACGACTATCTGGTAGTTCTCCATGAGGTCTTTGTAGCCCACGTGGATTTTCCCATTCTGCAGGAATGCCAGGTGTCACCCCAGGGCAAGGGACTGTGCAAGAACGGGGGACAGCTCTCGGGGAGGGCGTGGGAAAGGCCGAGGGCCTGGGGCTTCCACGAACCGGGGCGGAGTACATGGTTTTGATGTTGCTCCTGAACTTCTCAGTGGCCTCGGTGAATAAGCTCTCAATGGGGGTCTTCTGGGAGCGCAGGTCATTTATCTGCAGGGAGAGAGAGGCCCTGTCCCTGCAGTGCCATGAGCCTGGGGACCTGCAGTGCTGGGGAAGGCTTTGGGGTTGCTCTGTCCTGTCCTAAGTTCTCCTCTGGCCTCAGAGGATAAAACTCAGCCCTCTGGTATCTGAGAGAACATTTCCTGTATTGGGATGGGCCTGTGCACTGCGGGTCACCGGGCAGCATCCCTGGCCTCCACCCTCCCGATGCCAGTGGGCTCCTGCTTAGTCCTAACTAGAATGTTCCCAGTCGATGTGCCCTGGAGGACAGGACCGCCACAGGAGGGCTCCAGGCTCTTCCTGCCCCCCATTCAGAAGCTTGTGCCTAGCCACACCCTGCAGTGGGCTGCGTCAGGGGTCTGGGTCACTCTGAGATACTGCTGTGTCCCTTCAGCGACCCCCTGCTTCTCCTGGGAAGCTCCGGATCACCCCCAGGTGGGCCATGAGCACCCCAGGCACAGGCCCTGGCTGGTTCGCCTTCACCTCTGTGGCACCTAATCAATGTCCTCCATGAATCAGTTGCATTTGGCAACACTGTATTCTAAACAGAACAGGAATGGGCAGGAGCCTGGAAGGCTGGGCAGCAGGTGGACTTCAGCTGGACAGGGACACCTTCTGGGGTTCTAACAGAGACTTTTCCTGTGGTACAGGGGCTGGCACCAGGACACCTGTCCTTGGCACCTCACCCGGCCCTGGACTGTGATCTGCCGAGGGCAGCGACTGCCGGCTGTGCTGTTCTTGGGGAGTTTGTGCCCCTCCTCCCTGGCATCCCCAGGGCTCACCTTGTTGAGCAGGAACTCGTCCAGGAACTTGAGCTCGTTGGCGTTGGTGATCTTACGGAACACTGACTCCCGCCACTTCTCAGACACCGTGATCTTGCCGACCTTGAGGTTTCGGTTCTTCTTCCCTTTGCCCCCTGTCTCCTTGGTGTGCTTCTCGCCTGCTGTGTGGCGGTGTGGGTGGCCGGAGAGGGCTGTGGGGACACAGAACAGCTGTGAGGGTGCGTCTGGGGAGGCGCTGGCTGGCCCCTGGGGCTGTCAGAAATGCAGAGCATCAGGACCCAAGTGCAGTGCCCGTCTGAGGCCACCTTGGTGGCTTGGACCTCAGCGTCTGCAGAGGCTTCTGCCTCTAGCCCGGCGGCCACTGACCTTCTGCACTCTTCCTCGAGGCCGCGGCTTCGGGCACAGCATGGCCTGCCGCGGGGCTCTCTGCCTCCTCCGTGCCCTCCAGGATGTACTTTTTGTCCTTAGTTTTATGTAGGAAGAGTCTCTTAAACGTGGATCTGGGGAGACAGCAACGTGCTTTCTTGTTGTCTTTTCATGCTGAGGTCTCTCTGGGGTGCCGTGGGGCACAGCTGCAATCCTAGCTATTGAGGAGGCTGAAGCAGGAGAATCCCAAGTTTGAGGACAACCTCACTAATTTAGTGAGACCCTGTCTCCAAAAAAAAAAAAAGAGGCTGGGGACACAGTACAGTGCTTGACTGGTTGAGTGGCCCTGGCTCGACCTCCAGCACCCGCAAAAAAAATCTCCTTGATGTGCTTTCAGAACGCACACGTGACGTGGCTGCTTGACGCCTGGGCTCGAGGTGCAGTGCGATCATGTCTGAGAAAGGGTCTTGGGTGTGGCTGAGTGGCGGTTTCTGGGATAGCACCCTGGACTGGCCAGGCTGCCCGATGCCCTCCTGAGGAGGAGAGAAGGGCAAAGACACGGGAGGAGAGGGCCGTATGAAGATGGGCAGAAACTGCAGTGATGTGGCCAGAGATCACTGCCTGGAGCCCCTGCGGCTGGATGGGCCAGGAGGGAGCCCCATGTGGCTTTGGAGGGAGTAGGACACCTGGAGTTTGGACCTTCAGCCTCCAGTACTGAGGACAAACTCCTGTTTAAGTTGTAGAACTTTGTGAGGTGGGTGGTCTCTCTGCAGTAGGGGTCTCTGGCCCCACGCCTAGGGAGCCCATCCTGTGGCTTCCTGTTACCTGCCCTGTGTGTGGATCAAACCTCAACTGCTCCATGGCCCATCCTCTCTGTGAAGAACCGGCTGGAACATTCAGGCAGAGGCTCTCTGGGGACAGACCTCGACCTAGATTTTACTATTTGAGGCTCTCAAAAGGGTTCCCAGAGGTGAGGACTGATTTTGACTCCGTGGAAACCGTCCGTCTGCAGACCCAGAGGAGGTGTCCCGCAGCAGTAGAGGTTTCCTGGGTGTCCTGCACACAGGCATGGCCACTTTGTGCTAACGAATGCCACAGGCCTAGGCTTTGTGGGCAAGTCCAGTGGGTGGGTCTTTGTTTTTTGGTACTGGGGATTGAACCCAGGGGAACTTAACCACTGAGACATCCCCAGCCCTTTTTAACATTTAGAGACAGGGTCTCAGGAAGTTGCTCAGAGCCTAAGTTGCTGGCTTTGAACTTGTGATCCTCCTTCTTCAGCCTCCTGAACCGCTGAGATTACAAGTGTGTGCGACTGCACCCAGATAGTGGGTGGGTTCTGAGGCAGGGGCTTGGGACCTCTCCAAAGAAGTTTTAGTACTAGGGATCAAGCCCAGGGATGTTCTACCACTAAGTTACACCCCCAGCCCTTGTTTTTTTGAGTCGGAGTCTGGCCACGTTGTCCGGGCTGGTCTTGAACTTGTGATCCTCCTACCTGAGACTCCTGAGTTGCCCCCACTGAAATCTCTACTGAGCAAACACCTGCCCCTTGTGCTTGATTTATGTGATTGGGTTAGAAGAGTAGACTGAGGCGACGCCTTGGCAGGGACCCTGGGGCATCCTCTAGAGGCCTGAGTTCCCCGATCTCCTTACTTAGAGTCAGGCTGGGAGCCTGGGGACAGCCCTGCATCCAGGCTAGAGGAGATGTCTCCTGACTTCTTCTTCTGAACGGCTGGCTTCTTTGTGCTCAGCTCCCCTTCGGTTTCTGCTGACGGCTGCAACAGGATGGTGTGGATGGGGGTGGGCGAGAGGCAGGTGGTCTGTGCTGGGGACCTTGCTTTCCCACTGTGCCCTCTAGCCACCGACTCACTCCTCTCTGGTGAGGGTGGAAGTGGACGTGGGCCCGGAGGTGAGGGCTGTACCCTGTGGCCTTACCTGTGCCCTGGCGGGGGAGAGCCCGGAGATGTCACTCGTGGGCAAGGAGGTGCGCCGCTCCCTGAGGGAACACAGACCGCAGTTTACCCACAGAGCGTGGCAGCGTGCCGCTACTCCCCCTCCCCTCTCGGGAACCCCGGGCGGTCTGGAGAGTGGTGGTCATCAAGGTTGGCAGGTACACGTGGATGGGTGCTCCTGGCACCTGCTGGCTGGGGCGAGGGATGCCCTCAGTGCCCTGACCGGCACAGGACGCCCCCACTAGAAAACCGTTTGGCCCCTGGATGCTGGTAAGGCAGAGGCACGGCCTGACCCCCGGCCTGGTGCCCATCTCCCGCCTCGCAGCCTGACTTTCTGCGTCTCCGCGCCGCCTGCCGTCAGTCTCCACGGCTCGCTGCCTGTCTCTGCAGTCTCATTGTCTGCTGTCTGTCTCCTGCCTGGGTCAGTGTGTCTTGGTCGTGCTCCATCCTGTGCCCACCTGTGTCGACCTCTGAATATCAGCTACTGCCAACTAGCGGGTGGTGCCCAGGGACACTGCTACATATTCCCAGCGCACAGGACACCACTTCTGCAGGCCCAATGGCGACAGCACACGGGGGTCAATCCCTGCCTTAGCACCAGAGGCCCGTCTGTCCACCTGCCACCTCCACCTGTCTGCGCACATTTACGCCTTGATGCGCCTCCGTCCATCGTCCATCTGAGCCTGAGTCGGCACTGCTCTGCCCCTCCTGGCCTTCACGGCCTCCACTCTGACCTCTCCTTCCACGTCCGTCTGCCACCCCCACCTGTCTCCAGCACCTCTCTGTCCATCCGCCTTGTACCCACAATGCTGTTGGCATCCATCGAGGTTGGTCCCCAAGAAGCCCCCTCTGTAGACCACTACCGGGGCTGCAGCCTGAGTAGCGCCCAGAACGAGGCGCCTGCTCTGGGGGGGAGCGGCCTCATCCTCCCTGTGCAGCAGGAGGGGCTGTGGGCTGGAGATTCGGGTCACTAGGATCCAGCTTACCAGGGTCAGCAGAGCAAGCCCCTCCTCTGAGCCCTCGGTATGTCGCCAGCCCCACTCACGGATGAGGAAACTGGGGTCCAGGTGGGCCAGGGCGGGAGTGCCCCCCTCTGAGGGCCGCCCCCCTCAGGCCAGGAGCTTTCCGTGTGGGCGTGGCTCGTTTAGGGCACTGTGGGGCACAAGCCCAGCTGGCGCCCACCCATCCAGTGGGCATGACCACTCCTGCGTCCCCCTGCCCACCCAGCGTGGCAACCGTGCTGCCTGGACAGAGGATGGGGGCTTACTCTGTGGGTGTTAGGGCGGTCCCCATGCTCCAGTGCCTGTCACTGAGATCCAGAGACTGGCTCAGCATGGTGCTGGAGCCCGCAGCGGCCATCAGTTTCTTGCCCCTCCACAGCTCTACGACGTTGGCCAGCCGCTCGCTGTCCGGGTGCTGGTACCGCTGGATCTGGGTGGAGCCTCCAGGGCTCTCAGGCTTGTCCTGAGCCCTCGGGCTGCCGCCAGTCTTGCCCTTGTTCTTAGGGGTCTCGGGGGTGCTGTCCGGCACAGACGGGCCCACCCTGCTGTCCAGGGCCAGGCTGGTTGGCCGCCGCATGGGGCTGGGCCTGGGGCTCCCTTCGGGGGGCGCCTTCTCCAGGTCTGCGGGGGCCTTGCTGACGGCCAGAGCCGGCGGGGACTCCACAGAAGGCTTCCTGGGGGCGCCTGCAGCCTCTGTCTCTGCCTCGGCCAGGGCTTCGCCTCTCCTGCTCTCCTTCCAGTCTTCAGGGAGGCCGCCCCCCAGCTCCAGGATGGTCTTTCTGGAAGGTTCTCTGAAGGCGCCCTCCTCCTTGCAGGATTGGATGTGCTTGTTCTGCAACTCCACGTGCTCCAGCCCCCTTTGCCGACGCGACTCTCGCTTCTCCCGGCTGCTGGGGGCTTTCTCGTGACCCTCCGCGGTCACGCTCTTCGGGGGAGGGACTTCCTTCTCAGCACTGGGCACCTCTTTCTCTGGTGGGGAGATGCCTGCTGGGGACCTGCGGCTGGGCAACGCCTCGGGCTCCAACATGGGGCACTCGCTGCCTGCCGTGGGCCCTGGGCCCTGCTCGGCGCTCTGCTCCTCGCCGGCCACAGGGCCTGGCTGGCCCCGTGGGGGCTCTGTCCTCGCGGCTTGCTGGGCTTCCCGCAGCTGCTCCTCGGCCTTCCGCTTCTCTGAGACCATCAGGCTGAAGCTGGAGAGAGGAAAGGCAGAGGGGCCTGGTTCAGAGACCGCGCTCCAGGCTGAGATGGGTTCCAGGGGGCCACATGCCCTCCTGTCACCCGAGGGCTGCGGTCGGGCTCTGCCTTCAACTGCTGGCCTCAGAGATGCTCCTGCAAAGGCGGACCCCCCTTCACCAGGAGGGGAGAGACGGCAGTGCCCCTCATTGCAGGTGCCACAGACACCCTGTCTGCGCTTCCTCAGGCCGGTCAGGGAGGGAGCCTCCCTACGACCCGGGGAGGCGGAGGAAGGAAGGCCACCAGCTCCAGGCCAGTCTCAGCAGCTCAGACCCCATCTCAAACACTGACAGGGCTGGGGTGCAGCAGGGGACACCCCGGGTCACCCCCAGGCCAGACACACACACGCCGGTTCCTCTGGGTCCACTGGGGCCTGGCTCCTTCTCCAGGAGGCCTTGGCATGTGTGGGCACTGCCTGAGAGACACCTCTGCTCCAGGAACCAGGACCCCGACTCAGGCAGGCCGCGGCTGGGCCTGTGGGAAGGGGAGGGCCCACAGGACACCAGCTTTGGGAGGGCTGGTCTCAGAGCCACAGCTGGGGTTCTCTGTGCCCTGTGACACCCCAGCTGAGTGTGTGGGGGAGGGGAGCTGGCATTGGGCTGGCCTGGGAAGCCCCTCCTCTGGAAGAGGCCAGCGGTGGTCAAGGGCACCTGGAGCTTCACCCCTGAGCGCTGCCAACCCTGGACATCTTGGGAGCCCCTGTGCCAAGATGGCTGGCTTCCTGCCGGCCACTCCCTGTGCTCATCTCGATGCCTGAAGCTCTGATGGCCGGGCAGTGCCTGGGCAGATCTTCAGCGAGGGGCTCCTGGCCTCCGGGATTTCCCAACTCACCTCCTGCGCTGCAGGTGCCCCCGGCAGAGGCTCTGCAGGCGGATGATGCTCTGTCTCCGACGGCGATAGGCCTTGCGCTGTCGGTAGCCCCTCCACACGGCCTGGAGGTACACGGCCGCCTGCGTCCTCTCCACTGCCCGCCACACACAGTAGGAGCGCCAGCAGGCCTGGATGGTGACGGCCGCCCGCTTCATCTGCAGGAAGCGCCTGCGCTCCAGCACCATCCGGAACCAGCTCTGGAGCAGCAGGATCTTGCGGACCACCTCCTGGTGCAGCGTCTCCTGCAGGGCCTGCCGCTCTGTCTCCTTCAGGAAGACCTGGCGGGGGAGGGGTCAGCAGGGTCAACTGTGCTGCGCCTCTGCTCCTGGTGCCCAGGTCCGCACAGCCACCGGTGAGAACCAGGCTGGGGTGCTGACCGACTGGGATTGAAGTAGAATTAACATAGCGTAGGATTCACCATTTTAAAGTGGACAGTGTGGTGGCATTTAGCATATGCACAATTTTGTGTGGCCATTGTCTCTTATGGCCAGCACATCTCAGCTGGTCCCAGAACATCTCATCATCTTCCCCAGAGGAGAGCCTGTCCCCATTGGCAATCCCTCCCAGTGCCCCCTTCCAGCCCCTGGCAAGCACCAGTCTTTCCTTCTCCATGCGTGTTCTGGACATGTCGTGTAAGTGGAATCAGTGGGATCATACCCTAGGGGGCCTTTTCTGTGTGGCTTCTGTCACTCAGCATGTTTTAAAGGTCCACGCACGCTGCAGAATAGACCAGCGTTCCATTCCTTTTCACGATTAAATACTATTCCACTGTATGGACGTACCACCCTGTGATGATTCTCACTGAGGAGCATTTGGGCCATTTCCACCCCTGCTGCCATGAGCAGCTCTGCTGTGAGCATGCACCTGTGAGCATTTGGTGAATGCCTGCTTTCAGTTCTCTTGGGTATGGCCAGGAGTGGAGCTGCTTGTTCAAAGGCTACCTCAATTAACTTGCTGAGAACCGTTAGGGGATGTCCCAGAGCAGGGGAGGCCTTCACGGGGAGCTGATGTCACCACTTACAGTGAACACGGGCAGTCAAGCAGTGCCCTATAAACAAGAGGCAACCCCGTCCTCGCCCACTGGGGATCAGGGACAATGTGTGGAAAGGAAGGGAAGGAAACCACCAGACTACTGTGCTATGCTCCGACATGGCTCATGTGCTGGAAGCCTGGTCCCCAGTGTGGTGGACTGAGGTGGGGGGACCTTTAAGGGGTGGGGCCTATGCTAATGCATGGTGGCTGCATGCCAAGAATCCTAGCTCCTCAGGAGGCCGAGGCAGGAGGACGGCAAGTTCAAGGCCAGCCTGGGCAACTTGGTGAGACCCTGACTCAAAGTAAAAAGGGCTGGGGATGTGGCTCAGTGGTAGAGCACTTTCCTAGCATGTGCGAGTCCTGGGTTCCATCCCCAGGACCCCAAAAGCAGCAGGTAGCGGGGAGGAAGTGCAATTACTAAGGTCACTGAGGGCGCTGGCCTTGGAAGGGATTTAAGTAGTTCTGTGGGACACCACTAGGTCCCTTGAGTTGTTTTAAAGAAGCACGAATGGCCCTGAATCTACCTCTGGCTTCCCATCTCCCCATGTGATCTCTTTTGTACATATGTTGTCAATCTAATGCCATGTGCCATGAGGTCCTCCCCAGAGCTGAACAGAAGCTGGCACCATGCTGTTGGACTTCCAGAACAGTGAGGTAAATAAACCTCTTTCCTTTTTAAGACACACAGCCTCAGACATTTTGTTATAGCAACAAATAAGGGACTAACACCCACTGTAAAGTTTACGAGCTGGCCTAAATACCCTGCCGGTCAGCACAGTCCTTCCCAGCCTACTTGTGAGAAAGCGGAAAAGAGTGGAGCCGAGTCCTGCTGAAGGAGGTGGAGCCGGGGTCAGGCAGCTCCCACCATTGCTTACGTTACCCGCTGTGGGAAGAAGCGGGGCACTGGTCCTGAGGAGTGCGCGGCTCCACCAGGACCTGTGGGCCTCAGAGCAGGAGAGGTGTGGGGGGTGCAGAGCGGGGTGGGGGCGTGGGTCCACAGCAGAGTGCTGACCTTGGTCTTCCCGATCTGGTAGCTCCTCTTGTCCACGTTCATCTTCTCCAGGAGGGCAGCGATGACCTCCCTGCAGGGCTGGGCGTTTTTGGGGAGCAGCACCTGGAACTGCTCTGTGAAGTCCTACGGGGGTGGGGCCAAGAAGTGTGAGTGTCTCTTCTCTTTGCAGTTCTGGGGGTCGAGTCCGGGTGCTCTACCACGGCACCGCACCCCAGCCCAGCTTAGCCAACACACGGAGACACAAAGCTGTGGACAGTCTGTGACAGCTTCAAGCTAAAGACCATTGCAGACACACAGAGCCAATGCTCCATCTCTGGGGAGATGGTGTCACCTTTGCGGGGCTCTCATCATATGGCTCATTAAAGGGCTGGACAAAAGCTGGAGATAACGCCTGTGTTCCTTGCAGTGTGAGGGACAGAATCCAGGGCCTTGTGCAGGCTAGATAAGCTCTTGGCCATGGGACTCCAGCACGAGCGGATACGTGTTTCAGTAAGCACATGGTCGCCTGCCTGGAGGGGACTGGCTCCAGGACCCTGCTTAGTCACCAAAACCCATGGGTGCTCAAGTTCCTTCTGTAAAATGGTGTAATATTTGCATAAAGCCTACGTGATCCTCCTGTGGACTTTAACCATTTCTAGACGACTTAGAATACTGACCATGACATACGTGCTGTGGACATAGTTGTACACACAGGGAGTCAGAAGAGAAGAAAGTCTGTACGAGTTGAGTACAGTAACCCCCTGCCCCCGATTTTTTTGGTCTGAGATTGATCAGGTCCACGGACGCTGAACCCATGGATACAGAGGGCCACGTGTGTTTCAGATATTTCAGGGACATGCGTTTGTGTAACACGCCAGCAGGTCCCCGTTCCTATCATTGGGCCTCTCCTATCTGCACATAGTGCTGGCTGTGGTGAGGCACGCCTGTGACCTCAGCGCCTAGGGAAGCTGTGGCAGGAGAGTCCCAAGTTCAAGCCTAGTCTCAGCAACTTCAAAGAGGCCACAGTGCTCGCGACTTTACAGTTCACAGAATGGCCACACTGCAAAGAATGACCTGGCTCTAGATGTCAACCGTGATGCTCCTGGGGAGCTGGTCTTTGGAGAAAACCCAGGGAGCCATCTCTGAAGTCACCGTCTACTTAGGCTCAGGCTTTGCTTTGCTTCTTTCCTGCAGTGCTCGAGACGGAGCCCGGACCTTGCACATGACAGGCAAATGCTTGACCACCGGTTCTAACCCTGGCCCAGGCTCCGGCTTCTACCTTGCAAAAGTAGCAACAAAGAGCCTTTTGTTGGCGGTAGGCAGAAAAAAACAGCTGGGTATAAAAGTGCTGCCTGGGCTGGGGCGTGGCTCCGTGGTAGAGCACTTGCCGAGCTCGTGCGAGGGCTTGGTTTCCACCCCTAGCGCTGCAAAATGAAAACACCAAAAGCAAAAAGCCAATATGAACATGAATTCCAGAAGATGCTCAACATAGGGCCCTGCCTGTGTGCTTCCGGGCTTGGTTTAACACTGTGCTTCTCCAGGTCTGGCCTGAGACTAGCCACCTCTGCCAAGGAAACTTGTGCCTCCACAATAGAGAATTGGCCACTCCAAGTGCCAACGCTGCCCTGGCGGAGAAGCCTGGGCATAAAGTCAGCAGCTGGACTTAGCTCTGGAGACTTGCTCTCTCTGAAGAGGTGGCGGCTGGCCCGGCCCTCTGTTGGGTCACAGCAGCCGTGTCCCTGCGGGCCTACCTGGAACGTGTACTTTGCACTGTAGCCAGATCGCCGGATGCGCACCGTCTCCAGCATGCCGGTGTAGCGCAGCTGCTGCAGGACCAGCTCGTCATCGAAACACAGCTCTTTCTGTAACGCACACACATGAGCCATCAGGGCCCGTGCCCAAGCAAGGTGGGGGCGCAGGCTGTGAGTTGAGGGTCAATCCCCACATGACCACCGCCTCTGTGATTCTAGCTATGGACTCAGGCTGTGCTTCCTCCTGGGGCCCGGCTGGCCTGGGAGTGTCCCTAGCACAGGAGCTGGAAGGCCTTGGAGGTTCCAGATAGTCTTTCTGGGACAAAGAAACCAACTGCTCAGCCGTGCTCACAATGTTGGCTCCTCTAGGAAAATCCCTATCTGCTCTGTTCCAATTCCTGGCACCCTGGACACGGGAGCCACATCTTTCTGCGTGTGCTAATTTGCTGCAAAAAATTCTTTTACGACCACGACCCACTCAAAACCGTGCTGGACTCATCCTCTATGCCACACGCTGGGTAGATGTGGGGGTTGGGCAGTACGGTTCGGGGGCCAGACATGTGTATTATGGGTTGGATGCTGCCCAGGCACCTGTGGGAGGTGTCCCGGGAGAGAAGGCAGCAGGCTGAGTCCTGAGGAGGGATGGGACAGGGGATATGGGGTGAAGGCCCAGAGGGGAAAGGAGCCAAGGGTAGTGGGAGGGGCCGGCACTGCCTCAGGGGGCTTCCAGCCAGGGTGGGCGACAGTCAGGAATGGCATACTGTGTCTTTTAAGGACCAAAGGAAGGGTTGTCACAGGGTGGGTGGATAAAGGCCAAGGGTACCACTTGACACCCCACAGGGCCCAGGACGCCCCAACACAGAGCTGGGTCCGCTGACCTGGTACCCGTGGCGTGCGCGGCCCCCACAGCCTGCGCTTGGGCAGGAATTCCGACATGAGAGGAGCCTGAGTGTGACTGTGGGCGAGCAGCTGGGCTCTGGATGCTGGCACACGTGTCCCAGGAACAGGAGAGACAGGACTGTGACCAGCAGGGACAAGGAGTGAGGAGGAAGAGGATGGAGTTGCCTACGGACCCCGCCTGGGTGTCCACTTTAGCCAATGGAGGAACACATGTCCCTGAGGGGCCCTTGGCAAAGCCCAAGTCTTCCTCTTGGGGACAGAGCGGACCTCTAGGGTGAAGGAAGCCTGGCACTGAGGGCTGAGCCTCAGCCAGGGCCTCTACTGAGGCTTGCTCTTTCTAGAAACCTCTGCAGTGAGCACAGGGCCCTGCTCCTTGGAGCCTCGGTCTGCTCATCCGTGAGGTCTGCTTCCTGGTTCGCTCTCTGCAATGGCTGCTCTGGGCCTGTCCCGCCCACGGGGTCTTCTCTGGGGCTCTGCTGCAGTGGCCCTGCGCAGGCTGGTCACCCTTGCTGTCCTCTGACCCCCTGGCACCGTGGTGATGCTCAGCTCCCTGAGTCCTCCTGGGCGGTGGCCCGCCCCTCTCCCGTGGAGGCTGCAGACGCAGGACTGTTCCTGGGGCTTCATCCCAGGGCCCCTCACCTTCTCAGCATTGGAGCGGATGCAGCGGATGAAGAAGGGCTCCGCCTTCCCCAGGGCCTCCAGGAGCTTGTTCAGGGACGTCTGGGAAAGAAGGACGTTTGTGCTGAGTGGGGCAGCCCGGGGGGAGGGGCGGGTCTGTGCGGCAGAGCAGCTGTGGGGTCCCCACGCTGGCAGCTGCCTCTTTCCAGGGCCAGACAGGTAGGGGCTGGGGGCAGGGGAGCAGATAAACTCCGAGGGTTTAAAACACGCCTCAGATTCGGGAGGGCTTGTGGGGCCAGAAAGGATTTATGGGTGCCTCCACCTGAGGTTATTACCAAAGAGCTTCGGTGGGGACAGATGACTCAGGTTTCTGACAAATGGAATAAGAAACCTAACAGTAAGGATTAATAGCTTACGAGCTCCCTATGTGTTTCTGAGCTTCCTGGCAGCCAGGGAGAAAAAGGGAAACCAAGGAAATGGTTTGGTAGTAACTTATGTTTCTTTAAACTTAGTAGTTCTCAAGTAGGGGTATTCTGCCCCCCCCAAGAGGCATCGGTAGTCGTTGTCACAAATGGGGACAGTGCTCCTGGCACTAATGAGCCAACTCCAGATACCTGCTAAATACCTACAGTGCACAGGGGTCCCCAACAGACGAAGCCCTGCTGCCCCCACTGCCAAGGTCAGGGACCCTGGGAAGAGCTGGCAGGTGCCTGCTGGATCTCAGCTGGCCAGTGCCTTAAGACCACCCACCTGGAACTGAGCGCTGATGCTGGGTGGCTTCTTCTTCTTGTGCAGGTGCAGCAGGGACTTGGTGGTGCGGTCATGCAGGGTCATGCTGATGATGAGCTTCAGGGACTTGGAGTCCAGCAGGTTCTACAACAGACACTTGGGGTCTGGCCTGCCCTCCCACAGCCCGGAGAGCACAGGGGGCAGCATGAATATCCCCAGGGCTAGGGCAGGGTGTGTGTGAAGCAGGTGCTCCAGGTGGGGATGGTGGGGACAGTAGACCAAGTGTGAGTTGCACTCCCTGCAGATGTGCTGATCTGGTGCAGAGAGCAAGTATGTGTGTATGCATGTGCATGTGCACGTGCATATGCGTGTGCATGTGCATGTTGCGTGCTGGGGATGGAACCCAGGGCCTCACATATGCTAGGCTACTGCCCTACCACTGAACTATACGTCAGCCCTTTCTATGTTTGCGGCAGGGTCTCACTAAGTTGCTGAGGCTGGCCTGGAACTTGAGATCCTCCTGCCTCAGCCTCCTGAGTTGCTAGCATTACAGGTGTGGGCTACTGCACCCGGCTGACATGTTGCCTCTTCTGAGGCCCCAGTGCCTGCCGCGCCCTCTCCCCTCCTCTGGTCTAGGAGAGGAAGCCAGTGCTGCCAGCCCAGCTTCCCTCTGCGGCTCATTACCACGAACATGACCTGAGCCAAGGAATGTGCCGTCCCTGCTGCCCGCCTCCAGCTCCCTGGTGTGCTCTTCTACATGGGCGAACTGGCCCCGCCCTCTCTGCAGACTAAGCTGAGAGGTGGTTCTTGAGTCTTTTCTAAGCTTCATAAGCCATGTGCACACAGTACAGGTGCCTGTCCAGATCCCAGGGCTCCACATCGCAGACTCAAACAACCTCAGATCAAAAATACAGGTCGAGCACCCCTAATTCACCAACCTGAAATGCTGCAAACCTGAAATTTTATTTTTTGGTGCAAGGGATTGAACCCAGGGGTGCTTAGCCACTGAGCCACATCCTAGCCTTTTTTAATTTTTTAAATCTCAAGACAGGGTCTTGCTAAGTTGCTTAGGGCCTTGCTAACTTACTGAGGCTGGCTTTGAACTTGTAATCCTCCTGCCTCAGCCTCCAGTCACTGGGATGACAGGTGTGGGCCACTGCACCTGGCCAAAGTCTGAAACTTTTGAGAGACCACCTGGTGCCACAAATTGAAAATTCCACACTACGAGATTTTGTTTCGTGCACAAAGTTATTAAAAATATTGTATGAAAGTACTTTCAGGCTACATGCATAATGTGTATGTGAAACAAATGAATTAATTTCGTATTCAGACTTGGATCCCATCCCCAGACACCTGGTTACATATATGCAAGTATTCCAAAATCCTAAAAAAAAACAAAAAAAAAAACAAAAAAACAAAAAACCAAAACAAACAAACAAACAAACCCAAACTGAAACGCTTCTGGTCCCAAGAATTTCCCATAGGGGTGGTCAACCTGTATCTGCATCCCTACTAAACACGTGCAGACTTTTTATTTCTTGTCACGGTTGCCTAGACAACACAGTGTAAGACTATTTATGTGACACTGACATTGCACTGGGTACTACGTCATCTAGAGATGACTCAGAGCCCACACAAGGTGTGTGAAGGTTCTATGCAAACACTCTGCCATTTACAGAAGGGACGTGAGCTCCAAGGGTTGGAATCTGGGGGGGGTCCTGCAATTGTACCCTTGGACACTGAGGGACGACTACACACGGAAACAGAACCAGCACCTGGGAGGTCTCTGTCCCATCGTGTCCTCCAGAGGTGGCCCACAGCCAGTGACTGACCCGGGGGGCAGGTAAAGACAAGGGTCCCACTGCCTGTGGATGGGACAGTGGACCCTCCAGGGCTCCCTGCAGCACTAGATCAAGGACAGGTCAGCTGGGCCGAGCCTGGCTCCAACCCTCGCGCTCTCAGCCTCCCCCTGAGAGCCCCTCGGCACCCGCTTGAGCAGATACCCCCACCTCAGGTTTACTTCTAGGACCCCCCCCAGAGACCCCAGATGGTTTCACCATGAGGAAGCTATTATTTTTGCGGTGCTGGGGATGGAGCCCAGGCTCTGGACACGCCCTGCCCCGTTTTCTGGAGGCCGCCGGAGCCAGGTGCCTGGAGCTGGGAGAACGCAAGGCTTCTCTGAGCGTGGCGCGGGCTTTACCTTTGGAATGATCTGCTTTTGTTTGATACCTTTACTCTTCCTGTCAAAATATTAAAAATGGTTTTGTGAACAAAAGGAACACAGTGTGTGGATCTGGGTTAGTTCAGCAAGCCACGCCTGTGGGTTAGAGAGAGACGGAGGGGACGCAGCTGGAGATAGCGACAGGCACAAGTGCAGCCAGCGACCGCCACCTCTGCAGACGCCCAGCGGGCTCCGGCCTGCACGCGCGCTTCAGCCACGCCCATGGGTGTAGGGTCACCACAGTGATGGCAGGACTCTGCTGTGGCCACCCAAGGTGACATGAGATAGCAATGAGATGAGCATCTGGTCTGGGGGCCACCTGGATGCCCAGGGAGTAGGCGCAGGTGGCCAGTAATCCACAGGGACGGCTCGCACTGAGGCCGGGCTTGGCAGGAGTGGACATGTCAGAAATAAGAAGGGGACGACCTGCCTGGAGCACTGGAGGCCCTGCGTAGTCCTGGGGCTACCAGGGTGCCCTGGCCCTATCTGCTGGGCCAAGCAGATCCACACCACAGGGACCCCCCTGCACAGGGCTATTAAAATGGCCTGGGCAGGGGCTCCTTTTATTTTATGCACTTATTATTTTGGTGCTGGGGATTGAATCCAGGGGTGCTAAGCCACTGAGCCACATCCCCAGCCCTTTGTATTCTTATTTGGAGACAGGATCTGGTTAGTTGCTTAGGGCACTGCCAAGTTGCTGAGGCTGGCCTTGAACTTGCGATCCTCCTGCCTCAGCCTGCCAAGCTCTGGGCATCACAGGTGTGTTCCTTTTATTTTATTTTTTAATGAAACTAGGGGTACAACCCAGGGCCTCGCCTGGGCAAATGCTCTACTGCTCCAGCCCTGGGAGCGCCTTGGACTCCTGATGGTGTCAAGGAAACACAAAGGCCGGAACTTTTGACCAAGGGATGGGGCAAAGTCCTTTTTCTCGCCTCCTGGACTCCCTCTTCAAGTGATGCTGGGGGCCCAGGGCCTCACACAGGCCAGGCAAGTACTCCACCACTAAGCTCCACCCAACCTCACTCACGGGATCTCGAAGACCAGGAGAAAAGTCAATGGCAGCACAACTCTATGCTCTACCCCAGCCCTTTCCAGGTTGAGACAGGGTCTTGCCAGGTGCTGAGGCTGGGCTTGAACTTGCCGGGGAGGTGCTAGGCCCACGAGGTGCCAGGTCTCGTCTGAATCCTTGTGGGCAAAATAAGGCACCACAAAAATGCACTGAAATGCTCACTCTCACCAGGACGGGGGTGGGGGCTGGGGGGTGCACACCTGCACCTACTCGGGAGGCTGAGGCAGGAGGACCATGGGGCACTGGAGCCCAGGAGCAACATGGTGGGACCCAGTCTCAAAGAGAAAAAAAAAAAAAAAAAAAGAAAAAAAGAATATCCCCCGCCCAAAGCAACCAAAACCCCCTGGCTTCCTTGTGGTCACAAGTACCACTTTCAGCAGGCTGTGTCATGACTGGCAGTGAGGGTTTGGATGCCCTGGAGGCAGAGGCTGCCAGCTGCCTGGTACTGGCTCAGCACAACACAGGTCTGAGCCACCACCCTGGTCTGAGAGGGAGGCTGAAGGCTGAGTGTCGGGCCTGTGGCAACTGAGCAGAGGGTCTCGGTGGAGCTCTACTCGGTGGGGGCAAGCTCTTCTCTACCAGCGGGCGGGGCAGAGAGGGCACGTTCAAGGGCAGGACACGCTCCTAGGCAGTGCTGTGCGCAAGGAAGCCCGCGGCAGGCCCTTGGCCCAGCTCAACACAGGGACGAGGTATTAGGAAAGCCATTCAGCTACGGCTGGCATGAGAGCAAAGCCCTAAGACAGAGCAGCGTTTTTAGTGGCCAATTCAATTTAGGAAGCCGCAGGCTGGCCAGGGCCCTGGGAGCAGAGGCGGCTGTTGCACTCGTAGGGGGCCTGGGGGACTCACAGGATGAAGGCGCGGGGTTTCTGGAGCCGACTGAGGGACTGGAGAAGCCTACGGGGGTCCTCGCCCTGCCAGGGCAGTCCTTTGATGCTCTTGATGATTTGGTTATGCAAATCGCTGAGGGGAGGAGGGGGACCCAGTGACAGAGAGAAGATAGAGTTAGAGCCGCAGACCCACCACCTCAGGGTCCCAGTGCCAATCGGGATGTCCCTAGGCCACCAGAGCAGAAACATGCAGCTGGGCACTGCTGGAGCTGGACACTACTCTGCTCCCTTCACCAAGGGGGCCTTGGTCAGGAGTAGCTGCTGTCCCTGAGTCCTGGGGCAAACGTCCAGCAACACAGCATCTCCAGTCACTGCAAAGGTCTCCTAGTGAGAGCCTTCTGGAACCTGAGGACCCAGCGAGGGGCTGCCCGGGTCAGACCGGGAGGCTCTGTGAAAGAGCCGGCTAGCATCTCTCCGAGTCTGTGGTTAGGTACCGTCTTCCCAGTGGGCTTCGTGAAGGCCCTGGGAGCAAGGGATTTGGATCTGGGTACCGTGGGTGATGCTGCCTCACCTCCCAGGAGATGCTGGTTCCTGGGGATATTTGCGTGGCCATGGCTGGGATGCAGGGGCCACCAGCCTCTGGTGGGCAGAGGGCGGGCTGCTACTCCACACCTACAGGGTGCAGGACGCCCCACCGCAGAGCATGACCTGAGAGACCCTGGTTGGAGGGCAGGGTGACCCCAGAGAGTTCCGTGTGCCCCACTCTGGCCTGTGCCCCACAGCCACGAGCGCACAAGGTCAATGGCTCAGAGGAGCCAATGATCAGTAACGATGCACATCTCAGTTACAGATGTCTTCAATGAAACTTTCGGAAATGATTCTTTTTCTCTTTTTTAAAGATTTCTCATTCCGTATTTTTTTTTTTTTTTAATTTTTTGCAGTGCTGCGCTGGGGCCCGGGGCCTGGCGTGTGCTGGGCGAGTGCCCTGCCCTGAGCTGTACCTGTTGCCCTCCAGTGACCCAACAATGCCTGTCTCAGCTCCGGGCGGTGCGGGGAGGACCCGACTGCAGCCCTCCTCTGTGCTCCATGCACCGTGCCAAGTGCCCCAGCCACACTTACCTCCGCTCCGTCACCCTCCAGGGAGGCACAGAGCAAAGACAGCAGAGGTTACATCTCCTGGCCACTCCTAAGTGACCTCCACGTAGCTTACAAGGGGTCATGGCTCAGCCCACCCCTTCCCCCCAATCTGGCCAGACATGGCAGGGGCGCTGCCCGCAGGCCTGTGTGCCCTGGTGGCCTCAGGAGACGCTCCTCTCAGTGTGCCTCCCTGGTCTCGGGTTCGAAGGCCCTGCTTCTACTTACTTCTTGCTTTCATAGAAAGCAATGATGTCCTCAAAAGCGTTAATATCGAACTCCTCAGAGCAGTCAAATGAGAAATCTAGCACTGAGCCGCTGCAAGGGAGAAGCTGTGTGAACTTAACGCACGCTGGGCAGGGCTCGCGGCCCGGGCCAGGCCCTGGGCAGGCCCACGCTGCACATGCAGGTCACAGGCCACTTCCGGGGGAAAAGAATAAAAATGAAAAAAAATCCCCGAATGTCACGTGATCAAATGGAGGAATGTGTTCTTTCATTTGCCCCCATTTGGGTGAAAAAGTGAATTTAGAAGCAGTTACTGAGAGTGGGGGTGGGGTCAGACACAATGTCTCCTCCAGACAAACCACACACAGCTCTACCTACATTCAGAATTTTAGGACTTCTTCTCTGAAGAAGTTTTGCTTCAAAGGACTTGAAAACAAAATGACTTCTTTTTTTTTTTTTTTTTTTAAGAAATAGCTTTTTCATTTCAAAAATTTAGGGACTTCTTCCTTGGGAATTTGTGAGTTTTGGAAAGGAAGTCAGGGATTGGACTGCCCCAGGGTCTTTGCACTTGTGTTCCTCACAGAATCCACCAGCACACTCTGCGTGCCTTTCTCATGTGGCTTAAAGAGTTCCTTTTCTTCTCTTCTTTTGAGATGGGAGCCTCACTCTGTTGCCTAGGTCATCCTCAAATTCAAGCCAGCCTCCTACCTCAGCCTCCAGAGCCATTGGAACCACAGGCCTGCACCATGATACCTGGCTCCCAGCCTTTTTAATTTTATATTGAGACAGGGTCTTGCCAGTTTCCCAGGCTGACCTAGAACTTACGATCCTCCTGCCTTGGCCTCCTGAGATGCTGGGATTATAGGCGTGTGCCACCATACTTGAACAAGGCTACTATCTAATAGTTTCAGTTTGCACAAATCAAAATCCTGCTCACCGGTATAGTTTTTCTGATGGGGTGTTGGCTCCTCTTGGCAGTTCTCCCAGGTGACTCTGGGCACCAGGGCTGCCCATACCTGCTGGGGACAAAGTGGGTGTTACTTGGAAGGGCCTCCCTGGGCCCAGTGGCCTTATCTTTTCTGCAGAGACTCCTCTTTGATTTTTTAAATATATTTTTGTAATATTTTAAAAATATTTTTTGGACATTGATATTTTGTTCATTTACTTTTATGTGGTGCTGAGGATCGAACCCAGTGCCTCACGCATGCTAGGCAAGCGCTCTACCGTTGAGCCCCAGCCCGGCTCCTCTTTAGCCGTTTTTGTTGGTTTTTGGTGCTGAGGGTGGAGCCCAGGGCTGATGCATGCTAAGCACTTGCCGTCCACTCAGCTCCACCCCAGCCCTGGTTGACACATCTTAAAAAGCAGCTTGTGGGCTGGGGACGTGGCTGAGCTCAGGCCCTGGGTTTCATCGCCAGTGCCAGGGGGAGCAGCAGATTGTCATTGGACTCTGGGCAAAGCAGAAGCTGACTCTTCACCCCAAGAATGGGCGCTCCTTCCCTGCCCTTGGGAGGGCTCCACCATCCTCCTTAGTCTATACCCAGAAAACGGAAGCCCCTGGCTGGCCCTGAAGTCGAAGTCCACGAGTGGAGTGTGGAGGTGTGAGACTGAGCCGAGCCACTCAGATGCGGGGCCTCACGCTCCTCCAGGAAAAGTGGGGACGTGGCTGTCTGTCTTGAGGCTCATGTGAGGTCAGGTCACACACCTGGGCCCCTCCATGTCCACAGGTTCTATATGCTCAGATTAACCAACCGTGGGTCAGAAATATTTGGGAAAAAAAATGCATTTTTCTAGTCAATAACAATACAGCATAAGAATAATGAGCAACATGCACACAGGGTCAATGCCACAGTAAGTACTCTAAGTCACCTGGAGATGATGGGAAAGTCTGAGAAGCCAGGCGCAGTGGCACACGCCTGTCATCCCAGTGGCTCGGGAGGCTGAGGCAGGAGAATCATGAGCTCAAAGCCAGCCTCAGCAACTTAGTGAGGTCCTGAGCAACTCAGTGAGATGCTGGCTCTAAATAAAATACAAAAAAGGCTGGGTATGTGGCTCAGCGGTGAAGCACCCTTGGGTTCAGTGCCTGGTACCAAAAAAAACTCTCTGAAAGGACATGTGCAGGGCCTGTGCCAACACTAGGCCAGTGCACAGAAGGGACGGGCCCATGGAGTCTGGATTCTGGGAGCCCCTAGGGGACCGAGTGCCGGCTGCAGTTTCTGTTGGGGACGATGGCAGCGATCTCGAGTGAGCGAGGGTAGTGGTTGTGAACATTTCCTAAATGCTGCTGACATGTTCAATTTAAATCGAACTGTGAATGTCCCCCTTGCAACAATGACGCTCGGCGGAGTAGGTGGTCCCTAGGCTCCTACCTGCAGCCTTCTCAGCTCTCTCGGCCCGCAGACGCCCGGCCTCCCGCATCACGGCCATGGCCCGGATGGCGGCCCGGAGCACGGCCCAGCGGAATACAGCCACGGGCTCCATGCCGATGAGCTCCCGGACGTAGGAGCTATCACTGCCCCGCAGAAGGGCCACGATGTCGGGACGCATGTAGTCCATGTTTTTCTCCCGGAAGTCCTGGTAGGGGATGATGTGGGTGGTCACCCACCAGTGTCACCCACCGACACTCAGAGGCTGGGGTGGGCAGGGGTGGCCTGGGGGACAGGTGCCATCCCAGCAGCAGACTGCCATTCCTGAAGCGAGGGGCTCGGGTACTTCAGCAGGGATTCACGGCATGTTCCAGATGAACTGGCAAGTGCCCCAGGGCAGGGCCCTCCGCGCGCCGTGTTCCAACCACACGTGGCTTTCTGGCGCCCTGCCAGTGGCTGCCGGGTAGACACATACCTTGATTTGGTATTTCACTTTTCCCGCAAAATGCTGGATGATGAATGCGGGTTCCATGACTGGGGTGCCCAGGAAGTACTTGTTGTCTTCGTGCTGCTGTTTGAACTTGGCCAGCAGGGTCTGGCTCGTGGCGTGGGGGAAGCTGGGGAGAGAGTGAGATCTTTAACCGACAGTGGCTAGTGACCTGCTCTGCGTTTCTCGTTGCAGCCTCTGGGCGGGTGCTTGGGGCCAGCTACAGAGCGCTCTGTGGGCAGAGGGCCGGGGAACGAGGACGGAGCAGGGAGGTGGCCTCAGCTTCGTGCTGCATGCTGAGCAGGCGCCCAGATTGTGATCCTGCCACTGCACCAGCAGCCACACCCAGGTGCCAACGAGACCCGAAGCTCAGGTGCAGGTGGCCCCTTCTGTCCCCTGTGGCTGTTCTCTAGGGGGCTGGAGGGACCACTAACCGGGTTTGATGGTGTCTGTAGACACTCGTCCCAGGGGAGGCCTGGACCTGGGTCCACTGTGGGCAGCTCTTCACAGTGATCCCAGGAGACAGTGGCCCCCGCCACAGGGCCCTCTGCACCTGGACGTGTGCCCTGGAAGGGGTCCGCCCTGCTCCCAGCTGGAGAGGCTGCAGGGGCAGAACAGGGACTCCTTGCACTTGGCTAGTCCCGCTTCCAGGAGGGCAGTGCCACGCCTGGGCCCAGCCCCACCACAGGTGTAGACAGCGCCACGGCAAGCTGCCAACACGGGCTCAAGGCTTAACCGGGTGACAGGGGAGGTTCTCCACTATCAGACCCATGGCTTCCCGGGCTGTGGAAAGGGTATGAAGGCACCAAACCCTCCGTCATCAGGACTGAAGAGTACCGTTTCAGAAAATCCCAACTGATGCATATTAAAAAAAAAAAAAAATCCCCGATGAACAGAAACTGCAAGTCAGAAGAGGGACCGGGCTTGCTCACAGGCCTGGCCCTTGTCCCGAGTTCCCAGGCTGTGATGACACAGTCCCTCCTAGGACCTTGCTCCCACCCTCTGATTCTGGACCACAGTGGCAAGGGGATGCGTCTGCCTGCCTGGGCGGGGACTTGGTTGAGGCATGCAGTGTGCCTCCTTTCAGCCCTGTGGGGACGTCACTGGCAAAGGAGGAGCTACGATAAAGATGTGTGCATGTCTTCACCCCCAGCATCTGTGGATATGATCTTATTTGGAGACAGGTGTGTGTGTGTGTGTGTGTGTGTAGAGCTGGGATGGAACTCGGGACCCCAATCATGCTACGCAAGTGCTCCACCACTGAGCCACATCCCAGCCCTTTTTGTTTTATCTTGGGACAATGTCTCACTCAGTTGCCCAGGCTAGCCCTGAACTTGTGATCCTCTTGCCTCAGATTCCCAAATAGGTGGGGTCACAGGCCCGCGCCAGGTGCCTAGTTGAAAACAGCATCTCGAGAGTTGTACACATTTAAGGTTGCCAGGGTGGGCTTAGTCCAGTGTGACCGATGGCCTCTTAGGAAGAGGAGACAGGAAGGACAGGGACATGGGGCGCAGGCCATGAAGACACAGGCAGCAACTGGAGTGATGTGGCCACAGCTGCGGGATGCCGGAGCCCTGAAGCTGAAGAGGCAGGAGGCATCCTCCCCTAGAGGCTGCGGAGGGTGTGTGACCCTGTGACACCTTGATTTTGGGTTTGTGGATTCCAGGACCCTGAGAGATGAGACTGCTAGTATTTTGGGGGGCAGGGTATTGAGGGGTTGAACCCAGGGGTGTTCAACAACTGACCTACATTTCCAGCCCTCTTTAAAAATTTTTGATTTAGAGACAGGGTCTTGTCGAGTTGCTTCGGGCCATTGCTGAGGTTGGCTTTGAACTCATGATCCTCCTGCCTCAACCTCCTAAGCCACTGGGCTGACAGGCGGGGGCCCCTGTGCCTGGCAAAACTGCTGTTTTAACCTCCCTGGTTGGTTCACTGGGGCAGCCAGAGGGACTAAGGCAGTGTCTCCTGATTTCAGTGACAGCAGTTGGATTACTGAGAATGAGGCGCTTTTTAGATACCCTTTCCCGCCTTCAGGGTGCCCTGAGGATGGTGTGTGGGGGGTCTGGGCTCAATGGGGAGTCCACAGCAGGCAGTGCCTGGGCCCCGTGTTCACATATTGTGCTGCCCTTTACCAGCATGTGCCAACCCTGATCCCTGTGACTGGAACCAGGTCCACAGTCCTTCACTGGAGACTCCCGCAGACACTCCAGAGCGCACCAATGAACCTGAGTGCTTCCTTTCCCGGCAAGCACGCAGTACGAGCATCCTGTGCACATGAGCTCAGGGTCTGTGGCCAGAGTGTGGGCAGCTGAGAAGTCTGCAGGATGGTCTGGACTCAGGGGTCTAACTGGGCACCTGTGTGCAGCCGTGCTGGGCGGGGGCGGACAGGGCCATGGACACTCACTTGCTCTCCTCGTCCAGCAGGTGGAAGAGGCCGGTGGGCTTCTTGCTGATGAGCTGGATGCAGCCCACGTTGTCCGTGTAGTCGATGTTGTGCCAGGCGATCCCCTCCCCCTGGTACTCCTCCTGCAGCAGGGCGGGCACACAGGCTGTCAGTCCACACTAGGTCGCTTTACTCTACTTGCTGTGCTGGGGATGGAGTTCAGGGCCCTGCTGGCTGGGCGAGTGTCGATCCCCTGAGCTGCACCCCCTCTTCAGACACCAAGACCCTTGAATGCTCAAGTATCTGCTACAGTGTATGTGTTATGTGCCACATATTATATTGCATTGTTCAGGATGAGAAAAAGAATCTATACAGGTTCAGAACACTCAATTTTTAATTTCCATATTGGGGATTGAACCCAGGAGCACTCTACCACCGAGCTACATCCCCAGCCTTTTTAAAACAAATTTTATTTTGAGACAGGACAGGGTGTCACTAAGTTGCTGAGGCTGGCCTCAAACTTGCAATCCTCCTGCCTCAACCTCCGGAGTTGCTGGGATTACAGGTGTGTGCCAATTTTTTTGGGTGGAAATTTTCTTTTTTTTTTTTTTTAAAGAGAGAGTGAGAGAGATAGAGGTAGAGAGAGAGAGAATTTTTTAATATTTATTTTTTAGTATTTGGCGGACACAACATCTTTGTTTGTATGTGGTGCTGAGGATCGAACCCGGGCCGCACGCATGCCAGGCGAGCGCGCTACCGCTTGAGCCACATCCCCAGCCCCTGGGTGGAAATTTTCAATTCAAGGTTGACTGAACCTGTAGATGCATAAACCACAGTCACAGAGGGCTGACTAGACTGAACATGAACACTTGTGTATAAACAGGTTTGTTCACATAGAAATATACGAAAACAAATTATACTAACATGTCAACATGAATATATTAATAATTACATGAAGATATTAGATAAACTAATAATCATCAACAGAAAACAAGAATGGCATGTTCTCCAATGTCGCCCACAGCATCATGGTGCTTAAAATCATCACACTTAGAGCCCCTGGGGCGGCACACGGTGTTTAAAGGGCCACAGGCCAGTGTCTAGTGCTGCAGTGGGAATTAGTGGGTGGGGGCCAACAGCACTTTATTTATGAACACAGCGGGTGGCCAGATCTGCCCGAAGGCGGGTTTGCGAGCCCTCCCAGGGCTAACCTGTTCAACAGGAACACAACGCAAGGGACCTGTGTAACTTCACATTTTCTAGTAGCATCACTTTTTCTTTTCTTTTTTGGTGGTGCTGGGAACAGAACCCAGGGCCTCACCAGGGCCTCCTGTGAGCTAGGCAATCACCCACTACTGAGCTGCACCCTCGGCCCCCAGTAGCCACATTAGAAAAGTCAAAACCAACCAGGTGAAATGAACTTTAAGATAACTTAACCCCATACTATGGTCTGGATATTGTCCGAATCTGTCCCCCAAGGATCCATGTGTTGGACGGAGCCTTGGTCCCTAGTGTGGTGATGCCAGGAGGTGGCACCATAGAGGAGGAGCCCAGTTCAAAGTGTTTATCATCGAGGATGTGGCCCTCAGGGAGAAATGACAAATCTCCCATGAAACCCTGGTCAGTCTCCTGGGGTGGTTAAGACTGAGCCTGGCCTCCCCAGACTCTGGCTTCCTGTCCTGCCATGTGATATCTCACATCCGCGCCTGCTCTCATGCCATCCACTGTGATGTGAGGTTGTCAGGGAGCCTTTGCCAGAGCAGGCACCATGCTACTCTCAGCCTCCAAAATGTAAGCTAAACAAACCTCTTTTTTTATAAAGTACCCAGATCCAGGTAGTCTGTTATAGCAACAGAACACAAACTGATACACCCCATATATTAAAAAACTGGGGAAATCAAATAAAAATTGATGGAGCTATCTTGTATTCGTCCCTGCCCCTGCAGTGAGCCCTCAAGGCCTGGTGATACTGCACACTTCCTGCACAACTCAGGTCCAACCAGCCGTGTTGCAAGTGCTCTGAAGCCAGAAGGCTTGATGGTAAAACCAGCTAAATATTTACAGAAATCCCCCAGAATCACCAACATGAGGGTAATACAGGGCACGACCACGACTAGTACTGAGAAGACATTAAGGCAGAACATTGCCTTCACTGATCAGATCACACCCTAGGTCAACTGTTCTTCACCTGTTGAAGGGACTTTTCACACCTGGGCATCAGAGGTCCAAAAATGATCTGAGGCTTAACACCTCCCAACATGTGCCTCATCTGGGGCTGGGTGGGATTTTTCTCAATTTTTCCTTTGGCACAGAAAAATTTCAGGGCAAGTTCGCTGTGTTCTGCGCCCCCAGGGAGATTCCAGAGTGAGCTCGTTCCATTTTCCCTTGGGCACAGCCACTGTGCAAGGCAGCGTGGTGCTTTCCCCCAGAATGAAACAAAATTACCAGAGGACCCAGCAACCCCACCTCTGGCCATGCACCCCAATGAAGGGAAAGCAAGGCCCAAAGGAGACAGCCGTGCTCACAGCAGCATCATGCACACGCCCAAACATAGCAGCAACCCTGTGTCCACTCAGCAGATGACCAGATAAAAAAAAATGTGGCCCATCCACAGTTACTTAGCTTTTAAAGGGAAGAAATGCTATACAAAGAACTCAAATACTCAGCACCGAAAAAGCCAAATAATCCAATCAACAGATGGGCAAAGGAGCTGAACAGGCACTTCACAGAAGAAGAAATACAAATAAATGATGAACAAATACATGAAAACATGTTCAAGGTCTCCAGCAGTTAGAGAAATGCAAATCAAAACTACACCGAGGGGCTGGGGCTGGGGCTCAGTGGTAGAGTGCTCACCCAGCACTGGTCCAGAGCCGCCCATTCACACGTGCGAGGCCCTGGGAATGATCCTCAGCACCACATATAAATTAAGGTATTGGGTGCAACTACAACTAAAAAAAAAAAAATTAAAAACAAAAACAAAAACAAAACTACACTGAGATTCCATCTCACTCCAGTCAGAATGGCAATCATCAAGAATACAAATATATGTTGGCGAGGATGTGGGGAAAAAGGCCCACTCATACATTGCTGGTGGGACTGCAAATTGGTACAAGCACTCTGGAAAGCAGTATGGAGATTCCCCAGAAAACTTGGAGTGGAACCACTGTTTGACCCCGCATCCCACTCCTCAGTTTATACCAAAAGGACTTAAAATCAACGTAACTATAATGACCAGCCACATCAATGTTTATAGCAGCTCAATTCACAATAGCTAAGCTATGGAACTAACCTAGATGCCCTTCAACAGATGAACGGATTAAGAAACATGGTACATAGACACAACCATATCACTCAGCCATAAAGAAGAATGAAATGATGGCATTTGCTGGCAAATGGATGGAACTGGAGACTGTCAGGCTAAGTGAAATAAGCCAATTCTAAAAAACCAAGGCCAAATGTTCTCTCTGATATGTGGGAGGTGACACACAACAAGGAGAGGGGAGGAGGGAAGAGGAGCTCACTGGATTAGACAAAGGGAAACGAAGGGGAGGGAGCGGGGACGGGAACAGGGAAGACAGTGGGAGGACTGGGAGGAGCGCTCCTGTAAGGACACACCGTCAGAGCCCCGCATCTCGCGCACATCGCGTACAACCCCAGTGGGAAGTTGTGTTCCGAGCACGTGTGACATGCCCATGTGCACCTTACTGTCACGTAAAACCAAAAATAACAACAGAAGAACTGAAAAAAAAAAAAGGGAAGGAACAGCTGACACATGGGACGCTGTGGAGGGAGACCAGCTGGTGCTCCAGGGTCCCACAGGTGTGGGGTCCAGAGTCGCCAATTCACAGAGAAGGTGGGATGAGGGCGGTGGCCAGGGCAGGGGACCAGGCAGAGCTCAGCGGGAGGATGGGAGGTGATGGAGACGCCTGTCCCCGTGGCTATCGTCTCAACACTCAACCACGGCTCAGATGGAAGAATTCTTCCTTCTTTCTTGGCTGCACTGGGGATGGAACCCAGGGCCTCCGGCTCCTAGCCCCCGACAGTCAGTCTTAGGTTATGTGCGTTCAGCCACCACGGGAGAAAAGAAAAAAACCCAAAAAGGCCTTTTTCTTACCTGCTCTAGCTTAAAAATGTGCTGATTGAAGTAATACTGGAGCTGCTCGTTGGCGTAGTTGATGCAGAACTGTTCAAAGCTGTTCCTCTCAAAGTCTTCAAACCCAAAGATGTCGAGGACCCCGATGGACAAGCACTGGGGAGACGGAGCGTGGCAGTTAGCAGCAGGTCCCCCCACAAAGTTGACCTCAGGAGGGCCTGGTCTCATGAGCGGCGACCTATTTGGTCCCGGGGGTCCCAGGTTTGGCTGGACACCCTGCAGTCCCCAGTGTGGAACTTTTCGGGGGCAGGGTCTTGCTATGCTGCCCAGGCTGCTTCAGCTTCCTGGGGACATGGGATTCCAGCTTGCGCCGCCGCTGTGTGGGCCACCACCATCACGCCACCAGTTCTGAATAAGAAGCCTGTAATTCTTTTTTTTTTTTTTTGCGATGCTGGGGATGGAAGCCAGGACCCTGGACATGCTAGGCAAGTGCTCTAGTGGTTATTCTGTCCTGGGCCCCTCAAATTCTCCCAACTGTCTTGGTCACTGGGCCTACCCCTGGGGAGAACTGGCCTCTTGTCCCAGACTGCCTCTGGATGCCATGGGTCATCCACTGAGGACGCCCAGCACCAAGCGCATGGTCCCTCCTGGCCTGGGGAACTGGGACGGGGTACTCACCGAGACGGCCTCTTCCATGTCCTTTTTGTTGAGGAGGGCGTGGTTGATCCGCAGCACAATCCAGTCGAACAGGGCACTGTACAGCGACTTGGCCATGGAGTCACGGGCAGTTATGGCCTACGGACACAGAGGGGCGTCTCACCTGGGGTCGGGTTGCCCTGGCTCTGTGCGCACTTGCCAGGTGGGGTGCTTTAGTGGCCAATGTTGTTGTTGTTTTTTCGAGACAGGTTCTCACTGTTGCCTGTGCTGGCCTCAAACTTCTGGGCTCCAGCGATTCCCTGCCTCAGCTTCCCGGGTAGCTGGGAGCACGGGTGTGCACCAACCTACCTGGCTTCTTTCCCATTTAACAAAACCTCCTCTTTCTGTATTTGTTTAGTTATTTTTCGTTCTTTCTGGGTTTTACTTTGGAATCTGTTCTTTAATTTCCTCAGCATGGCTACTTTAAACACCCGACTTGTCCAACTCAGCCTTGCATTTTGCATGTCCCCGTCACCCCGTCCATGAGGATGTGGCACTCTGTGGCAATCACACCAGGAGGCCTGAAGGTGGCAGGTCCTCCTCACACACGCAGAGGCAACACAGAGGCTGCTGAGGGCCGGGCCTGCTCTCGCAGCGGAACTAGAGAGGAGCTCAGCCAGGCCCAAACGCTGGTCCCTTGTTCTCTGGGGACAGCGTGCAGCCACCACTGCGTGCATAGAGCAACAGCAGTTCGCTTTTCTTTCTTTTTTAAAGATATTTTACTTGCCAACGGGCCTGTGTTTTGGTTATTACGTGAGGCGCTGGACAGAGCCCAGGGCCTCCCGCACGCCAGGCAAGCACTCCACACTGAACCCCGGCCGGCCTTTCTCCCCTTCTTCCTCTTTGCCTTTCTTTCCTCCTTCTTATGGAGATCCGTAGCCCAACATGAGAGACTCGCTCTTCTTGTGTGGCTATGTGCTGTGTGATGACATTTCAGTCTGTGCAGACCCCCTAGTCCGTGCGGTCCAATAAGATGGCAAGGGAGTTGAAGTCTCTGTGCCTGGTATTTTCACTGGGCCGTTTTGTGTTTGGATGCACATCTGTTGCTGCCACGACTGCCTGCAGAACCAGCACAGTAACACGTAACACAGTAACACACTGGCTACGCCAGTGTCTGGGAGTGTGGCAGGCCACACCGTCTAGGCTCCTGGAAGTCCCCTCCAGGACGTGTGCACAACGAAGCCCTCTCTGATTGTTGTGTATGTGTGGGGAGTAGTGCTGGGGATGGACCCAGGGCCTGGGGCATGCTGGGCAAGCGCTCTACCACTGAGCCATACCCCCAGGCCCAGAAGGAACCATTTCTCAGCATGGATCCTCGGTGTCAAGTGAGGCATGACTATTTGGCTCTCCAGAGTGACAATGGCATTCACCTGCCCTAGAGAGTTGGGACACATCCCTCTGGCTTGGCTGTTCCTGCAGGTTGTGGAGATGGAGCCAGAGAGACTGCAGTCCCTCCTGGTGACTCCTACTGTCCTGGCTTCTCCAGAGGGTACCCAAGCTGCTGGGTTGCAGGCAGGCTGCAGCAACATCTAATGTCACAGGGTGCTGTGGCCTGTGCTCAGACTGTCCATAGTGCCCACTGGAAATGCCCCAGCAGCTCCCCCTGGGTAAGGGGCCACCATCAGCAAGAAGTACCCCTGTGCCTAGAGACTTTCCTGCTGCCATCTGAGCTGCAAGCTACATTGCTCTTCAGTTGTTAAAATACAAGAGAAACACCATGAAGAAAATACCCAGGCAGGGTGAAGGCCGAGGGAAGCAGTTATCAAGGTCTGGGGTGAAGGCCTGAGAGTCACAGGTCAGGTGTTACATGAGGATCATGCTCCAGCCCAGGGGTCAGCAAAGATTTTCTGGAGAGAGGTAACTAGTCAACAGTTTCATTTTTGGGGCCTGATGGGTTCTGCTACAATGACACAGCCCTGCTGCTAAAGCAAAAAAGCAGCATTGGTTGGTATGTGACTGAATGGGCATGGCTGTGTACCAATAAAACTTTATTTACAAAACCAGGTGGTGGGCCACCCAGGAGTCATGGCTAATCTCTGCTGGTGAGGACCAGCACACCCATCGGGCACACAGAGAGGAACCCTGGGCTCTAGTTCTGGCCTGAGGGCCACAGTAAGCTTATAAAATAGGGTCCCCTTATCTATGGTTTCAGACAGACCCACAGCTACCCATGGTCTGAAAGTATTAAGTGGAAGATTGCAGACATAAAACATTCATTAGTTTTAAACTGCATGCCGTTCTGAGCACTGAGATGGACTTTCCTGCAGTCCAACTCCATCCCACCTGGGCAGTCTTTGTCCAGGGGCCACATTGTATATGCTAACCACCTACTAGTCACTTAGTTGCTTCAGTTATCAGTCGACTATTCCAACTGTTTCAAGTAACCCTTATTTTACTCACAAATAGCCCCAAAGCACAAGAATAATGATGCTGACAATTTGGGTAGAGAAATTAAAAAAAAAAAAAAAAGTTTCTTTAGGTGAAAAGATGAATGTATGACAGGATTTGTCTTCCCTCAGTTCTGGGGATGGAACTGAGGGCCTCACATATGCTAGACAAGACCTCCACCACTGAGCCATACCCCCCAGACTCTTTTTTGGTACTGGGGATTTGACCCAAGGGTGCTTAGCTACTAAGTAACATCCCCAGCCCTTTTATTAGGTACGGAGTCTTGCTAAGGTGCTTAGGATCTTGTTAAGTTGCTGAGGCTGGCCCCAAACTCACAATCCTCCTGCCACAGCCTCCCAAGCTGCTGGCATTACAGGTGTGCATACCACACTCTGCCCAGATCTTTTAATTCTTAGACAGGATCCCTCTAAATGGCCAAGGCTGGCTTGGGACTTGATGATCCTCTGCCTTGGCCTCTCCAGTTATTAGCATCACTGGTGTGTGCCACTGTGCCCAGCACAATAAAATGTTTTGAGAAAAAAAGAGTTCACATTCACGTGATTTTTATTATAGTATAATATGCAATTATTCTGTTTTATTATTAGTTTCTACTGATTTCTTATTGTGCCTATTTATATATTAAGCTCTATCACAGGGACGTATGGGTAGGAAAAAATAGTCTACTTTCACTCTCTGTGGTTTCAGACATCCACTGGAGTCTTGGGGCTTATGAACTGAAGGTCAGGGGCAACTCCTGTGGGCTGGGCTGGCCACACTAGGGCTCACGTGGAGGCAGGGGCACTGCCAGGTTCTACTCCTGAACCACAGGAAGAGGAGGAAGTCACCCCTGCTGGCTCTTGTGTTCTGGCCTTGCACCCCCAGCACCAGAGCGGCACCCACCTCGCTGAGGCTGTAGGGCAGGATGAGCTTGTCATTGACGGTCACTGTTTTTCTTTTGGTCAGAACTTCCACCAGGATTTCTCGCTTCACCTGTTTCAAAATCAGGGAAGGAGGGAAGGACAGGGAGGTGAGGGGCCTGTTGGGCATTTCTTCACATCGCTGAGGCCCCGGAGCCCAGGAGGATGGGAGACACAGCCCCAGAGGCTGGGCTGGGAAGTGGGCCCCAGAGCCCACCCTCTGCGATCAGTGGGCTGCAGAGCATTCTCGCACACCACAGGCTGGCTGGGCCCCGTGTATGCACAGGCCTGGGTGTGACTGGGGACCACTGGCCCAGGGGTCACCTGGCAACCTGCACGCAGAGCCTGTGTCCATCCTGGGTGCAGGTGAGAGACCCAGCGCACTCCTCCCTTCCTGAGCCGGCCTGTCCACCAGGGGCAGGATCTCCCCTCATCTCCCAGTGGTTGCTCACGCACTCTTAGGAGCGCAACAGAAGATGGGGCCTGATGACCCCCTAGGAAAGGCTGCATGTCAGGGCACCCAGGCTCACGCCTGTAAGCCCAAGAGACTCAGGAGGTGAAGCGGGAGGATCGCCATCCTAGGCCAGCCTGGGCAACTTAGTGAGACTCTATCTCAAAATAAAAAAAGTAAAAAGGGCTGGGGGTGCAGCTCAGAGGTAGAGCACTTGTCTAGCATGTGTGAGGCCCCGGGTTCCATCCCCAGGACTTGGGAAAAGGAAAACGTACAGACAGGAGCGGAGGCTCTCGGCCCTGCCTGGGGTTCACGGTTTACACCTGGCCTGTGGCAATCTCCACACAGGCCATCCGGGGCTTGCAGAGCCTCCCTGACCTCCACTCACCAGATGCCAGGAGCAGTCCCCTAGTTTGGTAGTCAAAACTGTCTGCAGACCTTGTCTAGAGTCCCCCCAGGGGCAGAATCACCTATAGGTGAAAAGCAGTGGATGAGGAGATGACAGATTGGATGCAAAAATGACCTTGCTGGGGCTGGGGTTGTGGCTCAGAGTTAGAGCACTCGCCTAGTATGCACGAGGCACTGGGTTCCATCCTCAGCCCCACATAAAAGTTAAAAAAAAAAAAAAAAAAGATATTGTGTTCATCTGTAACTAAAAAATGAATATTTAAAAAATCCCCAAAAACAAAAATGACCTTGCTGATCAAACTGTGGTAGATTTTTTTTTTTTTTTGGTATTGGGGATGACCTCAGGGACACTCAACCACTGAGCCTTTTTTGTATTTTATTTAGGGACAGAGTCTCACTGAGTTGCTTAGCACCTTGCTGTTGCTGAGGTTGGCTCTGAAATAATGATCTTCCTGCCTCAGCCTCTCGAGCCACGGGGATAACAGGCGTGGACCACTAGGCCCGGCATGGTTGCTGTTTTTGAGACAGGGTCTCCTGATGCTGCCTAGACTGGCTCCAAACTCCTGGGCTCAAGCGATCCTTGTGCCTTGGCCTTCCGAGTAGCTGTGTGCCACTGAGCCCTGACAAACTATGGTTTTAAAGGAGCCTTTGGTTAAAGGGCTGAAGTGGGAGGTGGCCCTGACCAAGGAGTTCATCCGAAATGAGGAAGAGGCGCTGCAGAGGGACAAGGAGGAAGCAGGCCGATGAGCCCTGGTTTACAAAACCCTGGTGGCAGAGGAAGTTCTGGGCACATGTCCCCTGATTGAAAAGGTGGCCACTGCCCTGAGTCGAGCTGAGGGCGTGGGTCGGCAGTACCTTCAGGAGCTGGGACAGCGTGTCCAACACCTCGGGGGGCCCGACCTCCAGGCCTTCGTCGCGGCCCGTGGCTCTCTTCTTGTAAGTGACGTTGCCCAGGTACAGGATGGCTGACAGGACGGAAAAAATCCTGGGAGAGAGAAAGCGCGCACAGTGGGGCTGCCTCTACATTTGTAAGATAAGAAAAGGGGCCAGGGATGGGCTGAACTTGTAAACCCAGCAAGTTCCAATGAGAACTGAAGGAGCTTGAAGATCATCTTGTTCTCTGTGGACGCCGCCCTCTGTGTGGACGGCTCCTTGGACTTATTCTGTTTTGGTGCTGGGGATGGAACCCAAGGCCTCACGCATGCCGAGCAGTGCTCCACCCCTGACCTCTGTCCCCAGCCCCTTGACTTTTTAAAAAGGAGAGGGAGAGCTACAAAAAAACATTTTCTGGGCCGGGTTCTGGGTACAGAACCCAGGACCTTGCTCACGCTAGGCAAGCGCTCAACCACTGACCTATACCCACAGCCCTTTTTATCTTAGACCGAGTCTCACTAAGTTGCTGAGTCTGGCCTTGAACTTGCAACCCTCCTGCCTTAGCCTCCTGAGTGGCCGGGGTCACGGCGTGGGCCACTACCTGGCTAAAATGTGTTTTTTCAGTGGAGGGACACCATGCGTGAACACAAAAGCACGATTCCCACGTGGCGCCCGTGGGATCGTCACAGGTGCACAGGCCTCCGGAACCAGCAGAAGCCCAATCTCCTGAGCCACCATGGGCCTGACCTCTGATGTGCCCTGCAGAGCTGGGTCTGGCCAGCTGTCACCAAGGGCTGTTGGGGGACCTGTTGTCCCTGACCCTGTGTGTGGCTGTGGCCTGACTATTGGCACTGGGGCCGGGTGTCCCTTTGCCGCGGGGCGTCCTGTGCACTGCAGGCTGCTAGGCACATCCTGGCCTCCTCCCACCTGAGGCCAGGAGCACCCAACTCCCTTCCTTACTGCTGGGACAACCCAAAATGACTCAGACGCCAGCAAGTGTCCCTGGGGGCAGAGGGGACCCTGGGTGAGAGTGGCTCCTGTGGAGGGGCCAGAACTCTGCACACACAGCCCGTTTCTGTCCAGTCTCTGAGCCAGGAGTGGTCTGAGGCCAGGCGTGGTGGCACAGTATGTCATCCCAGCAATGAGAGTGGCTAAGGCAAGTCCAAGGCCAGCCAGGACAATCTAGAGAGGCCCTGTCTCAAAACGTAAAAATAAAAAGGGCTGAGGTACATGGAGTTCGGTGAGAGCACCCCTGGGTTCCACCCCTCGTACCACAAAAGAAACAAAATGAAACACAGGAAAGCACACACCGAGGCTCTGGCCTGCGAGGCTCAAGCGGTCAGTATCTGGCCTTCGTCAAGAGCCTGCCAACTCCTGCAGGATACCCTGGAATCTATTTACTGAATCTCCTGCTGGGGGCTTGAGGGGTCCCGGTTTCTCTGGGGTATAAGGGAGGAAGCCGTGGGACCCATGCACGTGACCACAGGGAACAAATGCGCGAGTCTGGCCGCACACACACAGCTTCTGTAGAGACGGCCGCGTGGTTTTCCAAAGTCGCTGCCCTGATCGGTGTCCTCCCAGGGGCATGTGAGCGTGTGCACAGTGGGTACTGGCTGTCCACCCGTCCACCTGGGCAGGAATGGAGAGCGCCTCAGGTGGTTGTAATTTCTTTCTTTTATGGTGCTGGAAACGGAACCAGGGGCTCGGGCAGGCGCTCTCCTGCTCCGCCCCAGCCCAGCCCTTTTCTCTTCTTTTTGAGAGGGGTCTCACTGTGCGCCCGGCTGGCCTTGACCTTCTGGGTGCAAGTGTCCCTCCTGCCGTGGCTTCCTGAGTAGCTGGGCTGCTTCTCCTGGGCCATGCTGAGCTTGTTTTTAAACAAAAGCACGACTGTTTTGACTGGCCTCCTGGGGCCAGGGCTGACTCCCTTCCTGTGCCCGCTGCCACCGCGCTGCCCTTCTCAGCCTGATTCTGTTGGGACGCTGACTGTTTTCTACTGGGCTGTGGGTCAGATCTGAGTGCAGGAGCCCGTGCGCCCCCTGCAGGCAGGACAGGCTGGCTGATGCCCACTTACTGTTTCTTAGTGGCCGGCAGGAAGCCCACCATCTCCATGGCCTGCTTGAGTCTCTCAAAGTCATGTTTCAGGTCTTCTCCATCTTCAATGTTCAAGTTATGCTGAAAAAACAAAGGCGTTGGCACCGTGGGTGTTTCCGGGCTGGCGAGGGTGGCCTGTGAGGGTGATTTTGGCGGGGACTGATGGGGCAGGGCCTAAGGCGGAGGGCGTGAATGGGCTCCTTTATGCCGCCTCCTTGGAGCCAGTCTGGAGGCCGAGGAGGGCCAAGGCAGGCGGCCTCTGGCCTCCTGGTGGCTCCTAAACAGCCCAAGGGGAACAGAGGTGACCTGTGTGGCTGAGGCTAGTGGCTGTTTACCTGGTTGAGGTAGAAATAATCTTCAGGCTGCTTAAGCTGAAATTCTTGGCGCTCTTCCTCGCTGACACCGAGTAACAAATAATAAAACACGTGGTAGTTCCTGTGGGTCAAAAGGAGGGAAAGAGTCATTTCTGCAGGCCAAGCAGAGCCACTTCACATGTCTGAGACACCACACGAGTGCATATAAACTCAAAACCCAAGTTGGTTTTATTACGACTTATAAAACCATGGGACTGGTCAAGCGAGGGCTGGGGGCTGGGCACGTGTCTTGCTCCCGTCAATCAGAGACGTTTCTGATCTAACCACATTTTGGGCAGATCCCTGAACACCTACGGTGGGTAAGGTCCTCAGAGGCACAAAAGGGAGCATGAAGCTCGAGGCCAAGGGAGTGGGCGGGGAGGAGGCGGGAGGGGAGGAGGCTGGCCGGGACACATCCTTGCTCCCAGAGGATCAGCCACACTTCCCCTCAAGTTCCCCGGACCCCAGGACACTTGCTTTGCCCTTGGCAGGGACAAAGGCAGATGTAGGGGTGCACTCAAAGGGCCCCTAAGGAATCATCCCGTACCTCTCATCCTTCTCCCGAGAGACCAGGCGAGACTTTTCAAGCAGATATTTTTCAACCACAGCTCTGTCATCGAAAGAAACAAGAAGTCACCTATTTTGGTATGATTTTAACGCTTGCTTTCTTCGCCAGTTGTTGGGTGGAACCCAGAGTGAATGAGCTGCACCCCGGCCTCAGCTTTTTTTTCTTGAAGGACTGTGTCACTCTGTACTTGGTGCTGTGGCTCCTGGCGGCTGCAGATGGCCTGCCCTCAGTGCGACACACATGAAGCCCTCTGCAGCTGCCGGTCCTGCCTTCCAACAAGGATCCATGGAAACAGGAACCTGAGCTGACCATGGCTGGACCTGGAAGCCCGACAGGCATCCTGCGAGACCTGGACCACCAAACCCACTCACTCAAGGACTACCCCAGAATGTGCACCCTGCTCCCCAATGATGAAATATTTTTCCAATTGCAAAACAAAGTTATTTGAGGATCATGACTCAATTCTACTCATTTGCTTGTGTAGACTCTAATGGAAAACGTAAACAGAAGGCAACCGATCCACGCTGACACTTTACTGATGACCGACACACAATAAGCTGCACCCATTTAGTGTGCACAATTCAATCTCCTGGGACGACCACTACCAGGATCGAGATAGCAACCATCCACTGCCCTAAAGTCTCCGCACCCCATCATCCCTCCCTGTCCCCCACCCTCAAGCAGCCACCAACTAGCTTTCTGCCACCGCAGATCAGTAAAGACACAGAATTCTACACAGGAACACTGTGTCTGGCTTCCTCTTTTTTTTTTTAATTAATTAACTTATTTTTTAAATTGTTGTAGAGGAACAGAATGCCTTTGTTTTAATTTGGTTATTTTATGTGGTACAAGAATCGAACCCAGGGCCTCACACATGTCAGGCAAGCGCTCTGCCCTGAGCCCCAGCCTGTGTCTGGCTTCTTATGTTCAGCACAATGGTCCTGAGATGCAGCCACACCGCAACATGAATACAAACTTCATTCCTTTTTCCCCATTTTTTATGGCTGAATAATATTACACTGTATGGATGAACATTTTGCTGGTGAGCATGTGTACTATTTCCAGTTTTAGGGTATTTGAGACGATTCTGCCGTGGACATGTGTGTACACTGAGTCTTCATATGGACCTACTGTGTTCCCGTTTCTCCTGGGCTAGTGCCCATGGGTGGAACTGCTTCAGGGTCCCGTGGTAATTCCATGTCCAGTTTTAAGGACTGCTAAATATTTTCTTAAGGCAGCTGTGGTGTCTTCCACTCTCTTCATAAGCCCACCAACGGTTTTCGAGTCTCCTTTTTCATTCCAGCCGTCCTAGCCGGGGTGACACGGGGGTTTTGACTTGCGTTTCCCTGAGGACTAGTGATGCTCAGCATCTTCGTGTGCTTGCTGCACGTGAACGTCTCTCCCTTGTGGTGCTGGGGATGGAACCCAGGGCTCATGCATGCTAGACAAGTGCTCCACCACTGATCTGCACCTCTAACCCAACATCTCTCTCTCTCTCTCTCTCTCTCTCTCCCCCTCCCTTTTTTTTTTTTTTTGGTACTGAGGATTGAACCCAGGATGCTTAACCACTGAGCCACATCCCTAGCCATTTTTCATATTTAGAGACCTCACTGAGTTTCTGAGGCTGGCTTTGAACTCGTGACCCTCCTGCCTCAGCCTCCCAAGCTGCTGGGATTATAGGCATGTGCCACCGCGCCTGGCCCTACATCTCTTTTGAGGAGCGTCTCCTGAGGTCTTTCTCTTACAGCTATTATTGCGCTGTAAACACAAGTCCTCTGCTGGGGGTCCGATCTGCACGTGCCTTCTCTGGACCTGAGACTGGCCTCTTCGTTTCTGTTGGTGTCTTTCTGAAGAGCAGGGCTCTCTGCTGCACGCTGGTACTCAGCCATTTATTGATCACTTCCTTTGTACCCAACAGTGAATGTTTCTTCCAAATTAAATTCTTGCAGTACTCATGGGAAGTTTGGCCATGGGGGTGCTGGAGTCGAGACAGGGTGCCTGTGCAGCCAGTCTCCAAGCTGATGCAGGCTGAGGAGCCCTTATCCAAAAGGCCTGGCACCAGAAATGTTTTGGATTTTGTTTCCAGATCCTGGAATGTTTATGTCCATTTGAGAGACATCTTGGGGACAGGGCCTGAGTCCAGACACAAAATCCACCTGGGTCTCATGTATCCCATGTGTACCTCCTGGAGGTGATTTTTACAGTCTTCTGAGTGCACCCTTGTTTTGTCTGCAACCCATTCCCATGAGGCCGGGTGTGAACTTTTCCACCTGTGGTATCGTGTTGGTGCTCAGAACTTTTGGATTTTGGAGCTTTTGGATTAGGGATGGTCACCTGTAGAAGCAGCCGTGAGTGCTTCCTGGGGATCGACTGTGCTCTAGGCATCGCCTACAGCACTCATGGGGCGGCCGAGGTGCCTGCTGATAGACGGGAGCTGAGGGTGGAGAGGCCATGCGCTGCCAGGAGCCCATGGAGGGAGGTGGCCTGGATGCTATTTCCGCACCCATCAGGGCTCCACAGGTCTGGAGGGGCAGGGTGTGGGCGGGTCCCACTGTCACTGGACGGAGCTGGGTGGTGCCTGCAGACCACCTCCTCCAAGCCTGCTGTTTTACAGGGAACACAGCTGTGCCGAGGGAGAGCAGGGTCTGGGACGGCACGGGGCCCCTGGTCTAGGGCCTCCTGCATGCTAGGCAAGAGCTCTAACACCGAGCCACATTCCTAACCCCTAATGCCTAAGTTTTGAATTGCACATCATTCTAAGTCGTGCGATGGTATCCTGCACCACTCCAGAACCCAGGAATCATTCCTCTGTTCAGTGTGTCCAGGCTGTATATGCTACCTGCCAGTTCGTAGCCATCTTGGTTATCAGATCATTTTTCACTAGATGGATGTGATTGGTTCAAGTAACTTTTTTTTTTTTTCTTTTGGTACCAGGGATTAAACCCAGAGACACTTAATCACTGAGTCACACGCCTTGCCTTCTCCTTTTTAAAAAAATTCTCTTTATTTGAGCAGGGTCTGCCTAAATTGCTTAGAGCCTTACTAAATTGCTGAGGCCAGCTTTGAACTTTGATTCTCCTGCCTCAGCCTCCTGAGTGCTGGGATTATAGACAAGGACCACCACACCTGGCTGGTCCAAGTACCTCTTACTTTCCCTGATAATGGCCCCAAAGCACAAGAGTATCGCCTCTGACAATCTGGATATGTCGGAGGACTGTGAAGTGCTTCCCTTAAGTGAAAGGTGAAAACTGACCACAGATGTGAGCTGTGGGTTGGACCCTGAACATCCCCCAGGGTCATGTGTTAAAGACCTGCTCCCAGCCAGTGGTGCCACTGGGCGTGATGGGACCTTCAGGAGATGGGCCTGGGGGGGGGGGATTTTAGGTCCCTGGAGCGGGCCCTGGAAGGGGCTGTGGAACCCTGGCCCCTTTCTTTTCCTCTTTGGCTCTGTGGCTCATGCTGGAATGGTTCTGCTTTGCTCTGACGTTTTGCTTAAGCACAGGCCCAGAGCAATGGGGGATCAGTGACGGCCTGGAACCTCCCCAACTAGGTGCCCAAACAGACCTCTTCTGAGTTGGTTACCTCAGGCATCGTGTGCAGCTGGAAGCCGACCAGGGCAGTGTGCTGGGGCAGGGCGGGGCCTGGGGCGGGGCTGGGGCTGGGCTCAGGGGCAGAGGCTCGCCTGGCACAAGCGAGGCCCTGGGTTCGACCCTCAGCACCATATAAAATAACTGAAGGTGTTGTGTCCACATACAATTAAAAAGAATTAAAAATACACGTGTGTGTCTTGGGAGAACCAGCACACGTAAGGGCCGGCAGTGTTTGAGGTTTCAGTCACCCACCGGGGGTCTCAGCATCTTTCACAGATCGGGCGGGGTGACTGCATTTGGACAAAAAGTCTTGGTGGATGTCATTGAGGATCTTGAGATCATCCTTCATGATCTGGGTGTGCCTTAAATCCAATGACAAATGACCTTATAAGAGGACAGGAAAGACACACAGACAGGCAGGGACGGGATGACGCCACTGCGAGCCCACGAGAGCTGGAGGCGCCAGAGGCTCCCTGAGGAGGCGGTGGCCAGGAAGGACCCTTGGAGCTTCCCAAAGGAGTCTGGTGACACCTGACACAGACTCGTGGCTTCCAGGGCTGCGACAGAGTCGGTCCCCGTTCTTCTAACTTTCCCGAGGTGCTGGAACCTGGAGCCCCCACATGCGAGGCAAGTGCTCTGAGCCACCCTGGGCCCCCAGGACGTGTATTTTAATAAGAAACCATGGGGTGGGAAGGGGTTCATCGTGGAGGACAAGTGAAGGCTGAAGGGCGGGCGGCTGGCTGCAGGGGTCTCTGATCACCTGGGGCACAGATGCCCACGGCAGCAGCTGAAGGAACCACTGAGTGGCTTTTGGGGGCTGAGGCACCGGAGAATCACCGGGCCCGGGGGGCCAAAGCAGACCCTGACGTCACCCTCCCTACTGCCACCTGAGCCTGGGCAGTGGGAAAAGGGCAGACGCTAGGCTGGAGGATCCAAGAGAACAGCAGTTGCATTCAGGCCCCGCGTGGACCGTCTGGGAAACAGCTGCTGGCCAGGCTTAGGCAGAAGAACACACTGAGGGCCTTGACCAACCCCACTGCCTCGCAGACCTTCCCGCCAGCACTGCAGCTGTGGGAAGGTCCCCGTGAGGAGCCAGCAGAGGGCCCTGCTGGGTGCTGTCCACGGGTCACCATGCACTTCCTCTACCCCCGGCCACATTCACCCATCTACCCACCCTTCGCCTGCCACCCACCAACCTGTCCCTATATCCACTCAGGAACCCCACCTCCCTTCAGCACTCCCCTGGACAACCGCCTCACCTGCTATGAGCGTCACATCTCAAGGAGCACATGCTCAGCAAATGTCAAGGCCACATCCATTTGGCCTGTGACACGCCTACACCAAGACCAGGAAGCAGGCTGGCCGTCCTCACCGGGGTTGGCAATGCCTCACACCAGCGCCTCCAGCTCAGCACACCTGCTCCCGCAGACCCCCGCCCTCACCCCGTTTCCTACCTCGACCTGCTGTGAGGACCTCACAAGGCCTCAGGAGCACACCCGCAGTGGCTGAGCTGTAGGTTGGACCCTGAACATTCCCCAGGGTCCACGCATCTGCTTCCCCGCATGAGGCAAAAACCTGCCCCGTCCACCCCTGGCTCCCCCCCACCCCCGGCGGGGAGGGGACTCACCCTCTCACAATGCCGCTCTCCAGGTAGTTGACTTGGATGAATTTCCCGAAGCGGCTGGAGTTGTTGTTGTGGGCTGTCTTGGCGTTCCCGAAGGCCTGTGCAGGGAACAGAGGCAGGGCTCAGACCCCAGGTGAGGCTCCCACGGGCCTCAGCCCAGGGCTCCCTCTGGCACCGAGTTTGTGTCCGCAGAGCCATCTGCAAGTCACCACCCACAGGACCAGGAGAACTGGCCATCACAGCAGTGGGCAGCTGAAGTGCGCCGGTCTCTGCGGCTGGGCCGTGTGGGGTGCTAGGTGCTCAGGCTCTGGCAGTTAGAAGGCCAGCTGTCGGGCTGGGGCGGCTCTGAGGTAGCGCGTGCCGAGTGTGGCCAGCCCTGGGTCCAGCCCCGCCACAGCAAACCAACAGAAAAGTCAGTTTCGGAACTTCTTCAGTTACAGTCACCCGCCCCCATGTCCAAGGAGACTGGTTCCAGGAACATCCCAGATATGGACACCCCGGGATGCTCAAGTCTCCTCACGAGGGACACAGAGAGCGCTCGGGACCTCCTACGTCTCCCGTGTTTCAGTCTCCTCTGGGTGACGCGCCATCCCTAACACATGTAATGCTCCGGAAACTGCTGCTACCTGAGCTGCTTAGGAACACTGTTGAGGAAGTCTGAGTGTGACAGAATGCCATTCTGCGTCCCCTGAGGGTATTTTCAACTCAAGGTTGGCTGAATCTGCGGACGTGGAAGCCACGGGTACAGAGGACCCCTGGACCACTATGCATAGGGTGCACTTTGGGGTCCGTGAGGCCAGGTGCTGACAGCTCCTGGCCAGGCCTGCGGGGGTCTCCATGGGCACCATGCACTCCAGATGCAGCTGGGGCCGTGACAGCATCTGATCTGCGACGAGGACATACTGTTGGGGCTCTCCAGAAGGTCCTGCCAGCCTCTGGGCCCATCTGGGCTCAGGCTGTGCTGGGCAGCAGGCAAGGAGCAGGCAGGCCCAGCTCGGAAGAGCCAGGAGTCCGGGAGGAAGGCACTGGGGAGTTCTTAAATTGGGAGTACAAGCAGCGCACCAGCTCGCCCTTCAGAAGCGGGCGCAGAGGCGTGTCCAGTGGCACTCAGCGCGTTCACAGCCTGTGCAGCACCTCTATCTGGTTCCAGAACGTTTTCATCCCCCAAAAGGAAGCCTTGTCCCTTAGTCACTCCCGCCCCAGCCCCTGGCGGCTCCCGATCTGCCTTTGGGATCTGCCTCTGGATTCGCCGGTCCGGGACACTGCCCATGGGCTGCATCCTGTGCTCGGAGGCCTGGTGTGCCCAGCTGCCGTCACTCGGCACCGTGTTCTTGAGGCTCGGTGGCAAGAGTCAGTGCCCCACTCCTGTGTCACAGCACAACAGTCCCGACCTGTCCCGAGGAGCCCGCAGGTAGGGAAGGTGTGTGCCGCTCCGGGGCTACCACCACCCAGATTAAGTCAGAACACCCCCTCGACGCCCAGGTGCCCAGGAACTGCTCCCAACCGCGAAGCCGCTGACCCAGAGGGTTGAAAGAGAGAGGGGAGGACAGTCTTGGCAGATTGTGGGGCAGGAAAGGTGCCCAGGGCAGGAAGGGAGAGGCCGAGGGAGGTGGGGGCCATGGGGCCTGGCAGAAGAGGGGCAAGGAGACCGAGCTGGTCCCATAATCTGGCCCCAGTGGCGGGGGAAGAGGAGACAGGAGGAGGTGACACTGAGGTCTCACACAGAAAGGGAAGTCTGGTGGCAGAGAGAAATCTGCTGGGCTGACAGCGCTCCTGTTTGAGAAGGCCGCGCTGTGCAGGAAGCCAGGTCGCAGGGGAGTAGGTGGCAAGGCCACTGCCAAGATCCCCCTCTGATGGGGGCAGAGGTGGGCAGTGGAGAAAGAAGGCTGAGGGGAGGGGGCTAGGCACGCAGGGTCACACTGAAGACACTCCCTCTTTGCTGGGGAGTGAACCCAGGGCGCTCCACCGCTGAGCCGTACCCTCAGCCCTTTTCACATTTTGAAACAGGTTCTTGCTAAGCTGTCCAGGCTGGCCTTGAACTTGCGATTCCAGCCTCAGCTTCTTGAGTCAGTGGGAAGAACTGAAAGTTTCTGAGTCTGATGTGATGCTACATGTGGAAAATTCCACATCATGAAACTTCTGCTTCACGAACAACAAATATTTATACACACACACACGCATGCACACTCCCATGTATATATACACACACAGTGTTTAGTTTTATTTTCTGAGATGGGTCCACTTATGTTACCCAGGCTGGTCTCAAACTCTCGGGCTTCAGTAGTCCTCCGGCCTTGGCCTCCCTAGAAGCTGTGACAAGTGTGTGTATCACTCTGGCAAAAAACTAGTCAGAGTGTATGAAATCACCCTCAGGCCACGTGCATGGGGTGCATCTGGCACATCAGTGAATGCCATATTTAGACTGGGTCCCACCCTGAGAGATCTCAGTATATAATGCAAATACTCTCCCATCTAAAAAGATCCAAATTCCAAAACAATTCTGGACCCAAGTGTTTTAGATAAAGGACATTCAACTGGCATTAGGGGGCTCCAGGAGGAGATAGGCCATGAGGTTGCCACTGTCATGAGTGAGACTAGGGCCCTGGTAAGAGACGATCATGTCAGGTGCGGGGCACACACCTGAAACCCAGCAACTTGGGAGGCTGAGGCAGGAGGATTGCAAGCTCGAAGCCAGTGAAACCCTGTGGTAAGGACCCTTGGGGTCCACCCCAGCTCAGGACATTTCTAGCACAGGGAAAAGGAGACAACAGGGAACTCCCTCACGCCTCCCACCAGGTAAGGACGCAGACAGAGACATCTTCTGTGAACCAGGAAGTGGGCCTTCCTAGACGCCAGATCTGTGGGTGCCCTCACCTTGCCCTTCTCACTCTGAAACTGGAGAAATGCATCCCATGGGCCGCCTGGTAGGTGGTAGTTTGCTACAGGTCTGTCACTGGTATGGTCTAAAGGTCCCCCCAAAATTCATGCTGAGCCAGGCGCAGTGGCCTGCGTCTGTTATCTCAGGGGCTTGGGAGGCTAGGGCAGGAGGATTGTGAGTTCAAAGCCAGCCTCAGCAACTTAGCGAGGCCCTAAGCAACTCAGGGAGACCCTGACTCTAAATAAAATATATAAACAGGGCTGGGGGTGTGGCTCAGTGGTCAGGCCCCTGGGTTCAATCGCCGGTCCCCAAACACTAAACAACACTCAGATGAAATGTAACTTGCCTTGAGAGGCGTCAGAGGTGGGATCAGGCAGGAACTTTGGGAGGTGACTGAGATTAGATGAGGCCATGAGGATGGGTCTTCATGATGGCTTTATAAGAGGGGGTACCCTAAACTAGCAGCTTGCTGTCTTGCCATATGATGCTCTGGGCTACCTTGGGACTCTGCCCAGAATCCTCACCAGCAAGAAGGCTTTCACCAGATGCAGCCCCTTGACCTTAGTAAACTCTTATTCTTTATAAAGTTCTCAATCTTTGGTATTTAGTTATAGCCACGGAAAATGGACTAAGACAATCAATGACAGGAGTTTGTGGGGCAGCCCGAAGGGAGAATTCCATAGGAAAGCATCTATTAGTGGAAGGCCCAGAGACTGGCTCAGTGTGAGGCCTGGACGAGCTTGAAGCCAGATAAAGGTCACACCTGGGCCCACGTGCCGTGGGTAAATTCCTCCACATTCTGGCTGATCACTTGTGGGAAAGGCACAGAAGGGACACGGGCTGTGGGGCGACAGCAGAGTCGAGATGCCAAGTGGGAAGTGATAAGGAGAAGGCCCCAGGGGCACGACCTGGCCTCCTAAGTGACAGGTCCATTCAGCGAGGGCAGCGGCTTGGTGCCTGGGGAGGGCCTGCAGGGGCCTTGTACACGGCTGATACAGATGGGCACCTGGGCTCTCACTGAGGGTCCCACACATGCTGTGCCCAAGTGTGGAGGGCCCTAAGGTGACAAAGCTGCGTCCCCAGGCTTAACCTCCGTCCTCCCCAGGGTTGGCCCAGGCGTCCCTGGGCACTGTTCCCATTTCCTCAGGCTCCACCGACCGCAGGTCAGGCCTGGAACTCAGGCAGGAGAGGTGCCTTAGCCTGGGGCCAGGCCAGGCCCTCCCCACCCTGTGGGGGACCCAGCAATGTCCTGCCTTGTGTTGAGACTTGGGGAAGCATCCTGTGCCCAGGCTCCCAGTCAGCCTCACCCGAGAGGTCTATGAAGTCCACCCAAGGGAACCCAGGGAAGTGGCCCAAGAAGCCCGCTAAGCGCCCTAACTACAGGCTGGAGGCCTGTCCTTGTGCGGCGCTCTGTCATTGGTGGTGGGGCGTCCAAGGTAGGAGAGAGTCAGCCTCTGGGCTGAGGCTCCCCTGGTGCCTGGACACCCTGGAGTCAGTCACAGGGCTCACTTCCACCCCCCAGGACAAGCCCCTGTGGCATTTTCTAAATGACAGCCAGGCCTGGTCTGGGGACAGACAAGTGGGAATGCCTGCGGGGGGGGGGGGGGGGGGGGGTTGGAGATGCCCTCCCCACCGCCAAGGCCACTGGGGGGCTGGCCTTCTGGTTCTGCGATTACCGATTACCGTGCAGGCTGAGGCTGCTCCCGCGCCTGGTGACCTCATGCGTCTGGTATGCGGTCTCACACACTGTGACTTTTCAAAGCTGTCTAAAAATATCCGGCTGGTGCTATTATACATCCGAGGAGGAAATGCTGGCCCGGCTGGTGCCTGCTCGCTGCCAGGGGTGCTATTGTACGGAGCTCCGGGCAGCCAGGGGCACATGGGCTCAAGGCACGGGAGGCTGGCTGCTGGACAGGGACCATGTGGGGTTGAGGGTGGGCAGGAGGAGGAAGTGGCCCCCGGGTGTCAGCAATAATGTGATGCAATCTGGCACAGGGACTGGAAAGGCCATATGCTAATGCCATTGTCCCCCAGGCCAGAAGCCCCACTGGCCCCGCAAGATGCAGATGGAGAAGGCCTCTGCTTTCCCAGAAAGCACTTCTCGCTCCTGTATGATGTGGAAGACACGACGCCAGCCCCACGCTTTAGAGAAACGTACCCACGGGAAACGCAGGCAGCAGGCCCAGGGCACTGCACCCTGCCTCAATGGCGCACCCTCCA